AAACGCCAACATACGCTTTCTTGGTAGCAGAGATTAATCCAAGTTGGGGGGGGGAGGTTGAAAAGAGGGAAGAGAACCCCCCCCCCAGAGAGCAATGCCTCAGGCAGCTTACTGAACTTTCCCTAAATTGCACTTTCTGCATTTCAGCTCCTTGTGATCTCCAACCTGCCTATTTGAGGCTAGCAGCGTCCTTGAAACCGTATACCAGGATGAAGTACAATGCAATCCTATGCATGGCTATTCAGAAACCCCACTTACTTTCCAGTAGGCAGGCACAGAATAGCAGCTTTAGTGTACATGTTTTGTTGTTGTTGTTGTTAGTTGTGAAGTCCCGTCCAATCCATTGCGACCCCATGAATAACATCCCTCCAGGCCATCCTGTCCTCCACCATCCCCCGGAGTCCACCTAAGCTCATGCCGATTGCTTCAGTGACTCCATCCAGCCACCTCATCCTCTGCCGTCCCCTTCTTCTTTTGCCATCTATTGTTCCCAGCATCAGGCTCTTCTCCAGGGAGTCCCTCCTTCTCATTAGGTAGCCAAAGTATTTGAGTTTCATCTTCAGCATCTGACCTTCTAAAGAGCAGTCAGGGTTGATCTCCCCTAGGACTGACTGGTTTGATCCCCTTGCAGTCCAAGGGACTCGCAGGAGTCTCCTCCAGCACAATTCAAAGGCCTCAATTCTTCGGCGCTCAGCCTTCCTTATGGTCCAACTCTCACAGCCATACATTGCGACTGGGAAAACCATAGCCTTGACTATACGCACTTTTGTTGGCAGGGTGATGTCTCTGCTTTTTAGTATGCTATCTAGATTTGCCAGAGCTTTCCTCCCCAGGAGCAAGTGTCTTTTAATTTCTTGGCTGCCATCCCCATCTGCAGTGATCTTGGAGCCCAGGAAAATAAAATCTGTCACTAGACGTAACAAAAAACCATACAGCTCCTAGCATGGAGTTGCAGGCCTGTCTTTTGGTCTACACATACGTAGGACGGCACCTTAAGGGAGCAGTCCTCTGCATCCTTAAAAGAGATCCCTACAACCCCCAGTATTCCCCAGCCACCATACATAAGATTGCACATCAATATGCCACAAGGCTTCTTTTACTGAGTAGCAAAACCTTCTCTGGGAAGCTGATCCCATTGATGTCAATAAGCATCTACTTCTGAGCCAGCCTGTTCAGATGATCAGGCTCTCTTTTGCCTATCCCCACAATGGCATGCGACTAAAACGGTGAGTATACTGTTCTTTTCCATGTACTGTTTAAAAAAGGAAGAAACAGATCCTGAGAGTGTGACTTATCCAAGTTCCTTAGGGAAAGTGGCACGCCTGCTGTACTTCCTTTAACCTTCGATCAAGATGTTCTGGTATTTAAAAAGGGACGACTTTAAATGACATTTATTAAATTTATATTCTGCTTTTTTCCTTACAAACTCAAAGCAGCTTACACCATTCTCCTCCTGCTGCTCTCAATCTTATTCCAACAACAACAACCCTGTGAGGTAGGTTCAGTTGAGACTGGCCCAAAGTCACCCAGCCATGGAGCCAGCTGGGTGCCAGGCCCAAAGTCACCCAGCAGGCTCCATGGCTTCATCACATTTCGCACCCCAGCCCAACCGCCTACGAAACACAACATAGACCGAGAGAGCCACTTGGCACGACCGGCTCAAATTCAACAGGTAAAGCTTTCCCCCGCACAATATACTACGCCCCCAAAGCTGCACCAGTTGCATTCCTGCCTGTCCTGACGGGCCCCGGATAGGAAGACGAAGAGACACCCCCCCCAGAAGCCACGCCCTCGCCGCCTCTCGCGCTCCCTTCTTCTTTGCCTCTTAGCCAATCCGCAGCTTCCCGCTCCCTCCTTCCCTGCCCCGCCCGCACTGGAGAGGCGTGGCCACTTCGCCACGCTCTGCTCGCCGCGCGTGCCGCCGCTCCTTCTTATTCATTCTCTCCCCGCTCTGCACAGACACACGCGCGCAGAAGCGCATTTCCGGGGGAGGCCGGAAGTGGGCCGACGGGGTGTTGGGCGTCTCCAGGCGGAAGTGGAGCAGCCGGGTGGAGGCGAGTTGGGCAGAGGTGAGTGGATGGGGAACCGCGCCCGGGGCGACTCCGCGGAGCAGGGCGGCGGCTCTCTTCAGGTGCCCTTGACGTGAGGGGGGTGCAGAAGGAGGAAGGGCTCTTAAATGGGGAGGGGGCCTGGCTGGTGAAGACGGTAATGTCTGAACGGGGAGCGGGTAAACAGAGGCAAGAAGCGTCTGAATGCTCCTGCCGGGGAAGGAAGGGGCCGGCGTTTTCTGCACGGAGGCGGCCGAGCCTGGCCTGAATCCCTGTAGGAACGCTGGGGCTGGAGGCGCGCGCTTCCTCAGCCGCATGGTTGACCGGCTCATTTGGCCTTGCAAGGGAGGACCCTGGATCGAGGTCTCTGCCGTCTCTATTCTTTGCTCTCCGAGGGTGTTAAGGTTCAGGGTTGCAGGGCAGTACTGTGCAGGTGTGCTCTCGGAGGTAGGTTCACACGGAGGCGCGCATCGAGTGGCAGCCGTAGACCCGCTTCTGATGTCAGGAGGGTGGGATGACAGGGCAAGCTTTCGAGTTGCACAGAAGTCTTCTGCTGAATAAACTTTCAGGGGGGTTTGGCGCACTTAAAAATGTTTCCTGAATGCGTGGTCAGAATGTAATAGCTAATCTCCGGTCATGTGTGGGAGTTATCAGAAAGCATGCACAATTATTATTACGTATTACTATTTATTACGTTTCTATATTGCCCATAGCTGAAGCTATATATTTTTTTTCCATAATGTGAAAAATCTGCTACTACAGTAGCAGGTCACCTGGGGGTGGGGGAAGGGTTATGGCTACTGGGAAACGCAGTTTTTTCCCACTGCATTTCTGCATTGTGTGTTCTCGCTTGGTTTAGAACATAAACAGCAGGTCCTGCCAACAAGTGGTTTGGATAAAACTTCCTGGCTCGTATGTGGGGGTTCTGAACCACACAGAAGCATTCAAGCCCAACATAGTTTGTTTGATATTTGTGGGGTGGAGGAGTGGCAAATAGCCTGAGGGTAACTCCGCGAAGAGAAGTATGTGAACACTGTGTCTCTCTGGGAGGAAATGCTACTGAGAGCTTAGCATTTTGGATTAGGAGGACTAGCCTGCATGTCAGTCTATGGGCAGGTGTGTAAGTCTGTTGCAGGTTGTAAAAAGTTATAAAATATTGTGCTGTGTAGGCTGAATCTGAGGAAAGGAAACAGTTTATGGCAGCCATTGTGTGTTATAGTAACAGACAACGAGCAAGGGAAGGACTATGTTACACACTCGGCAGCATTCAACTTGAAATCTGGTTGCTGTGACTGCCATGCACTTGTCAAGCTGAACTGAAGAGGTGAGGGGCCTGGCTGGGCACACAGGGAGAAGTAAGAGAATGGCTTCTTGGAGAAGGACATCTTAGATGAAACAGTTGTCTGTCTGGTTGTGAGTGCAAGTACTGTGGCATACGAGGAATCTGGCTATTGGATTAGAGACAGTTCTTTATCCTGGAGATGCTGGCCTTGAGATCAGTTGCACTGAAGGGGTGTTTGTCTACCTTAGATAGCTCAGGAGAGCTCTTTTACTACATGGAATTCGGACTCCCGTCATAGTATATGGACTATGAGCTGTCTATCTGATGAGCTCTGTGCAGCCACCATGGGCTTTGAGACTTGTTGTATGCCATCCTTTATGTATGACATCTCAGGACAGCTTACAGTGTGTGTGTGCGCGCGTGTGCACAGTCATCCTCTTGATAAGGAAGGTAGACCAAATTGTTAGAACATGCTTCCTAAGTTCAGTTGAATGAATGGGAAAATTAATAAAGGCCAATAATGATGGGCATAGAAATGTGCCCCCCCCCCTTCAGCCCCTTGGTGTCACCAAATTAAGTGGACTTGGTGTAGGCTCTGGACAGACAAAAGGAACTACTATTTCATGCAATGCATAATTCAACTTCGTATTTAACAACTTGCCTAGTAGTCACAGGTGAAAAGGAATTACATTTAGGCTGATGGAGGACGAACAGATGGGTCTCTTCCTCCAGCCTGCTTGGCTGGTTTTGTGCTAGTTAAGGAGGAAGGAAATCAGCTAGCACAGAAATGCTGCAGCCTAGCAAAGGAAGCATAACATTCCACCTCTCCTTTACCAATTCACTTGGTAGAAATCTTCTTCTTACACTAGCCTAAGAGACTAATAAAATGCTGAGTATGTGGGAAGTGGTTGCTCTCTGCAGCCAACATGGAAACTTGAGTAGCCAGCCTTATAATATATTTTTGCAGTGTTATTTTTCTTTATGGGCTTATTTGCAAAGAATTTACAGAAGTTACGGCCACAGGAAGTGATGATAACTTTAAAGGGGCATTAGACACATTCTTGGAAATAATGATAGTTACACAAAATGTACATGCTTAATAATAGGATAACCAAAAATCAGATATCAAGAACAAATAGGGAAATGGGCACCATCATACCTAACCTGTGAACTTCCTGAAGGCATGTAGTTGAAAGAGAATACTAGATTAGCAAGGCATTTATATTATAATCTGTATAACTGCAGTGAATTGGCTGCTCTGGGACAGAAGCCACATGTCTACAGATGTGCTTGCTGTTTTACAGTATGCTGGCACTTAGCTTTCCAAATGCTGCATATCCCAGTTAAGGAACTGCTGGAAGAGGAACTGACTCTGCTTAGTCATCAGCTGCATGAGGCGCATGCTTCCAGTAGTTAGCACACAACATCAGGGAAAGACAGTGTTTATCTCTGGGTCTCCAAGTAGGCATAACAGAGCCCAGTAAAAGCCATTGAGTTGAATGCACAAGAAGCAGTAACTAATCCCTGGCGTGCTTATCTTGTTGAACTCTATTTAATAGAGAGAACCTTACTTACAGATGTGCTCCATTAAAGCTTCTTTCTGGCAACTTCCTGGATTAACGAACGGGTGGTGGTATGCAACAGTCCTGCTTTCTGGAAAGAACCCTTGCAGTGTGTCAGAACACATTTCCCATGAATCATAGCAGAGTGGATTTCGAAGCAGCCTATAAAGCCATCAAGTCCAGACTTCTGCGCAATGCAAGTCTTCAGTTAAAGCATCCCTGACAGATGGCTGCCTAAGTGGCTCTTGAATGCCCCCAGTGTGGGAGAGCCCACAACCTCCCTAGGTAACTAGTTCCATTGCTGTACTACTCAGGCAAGTCAGGAAGTTTTTCCTGATGTCCATCTGGAATCTGGCTTCCTGTAACTTAATTCCCTTATTCCATGTGTAGTATTTTCTTTGCAGATGCTACTTATAAAACTTGATCTGGAGAAACCTGGGCACCGTTACCTGTTGCATTGTGATAACAGCTGAGTGAACATGCTTAGTTTCCTTGTTTACCGAAGTACAGAAGAGAATGTGCAGTTCTTGGACCTTCTCATTGACGTTCTCTTCCCAGGCAGGTGCACATAGCCATATCATTCAGCATTCTAAAATCTTAGGAGACTTTGGGCAGCAGGAGTAGCTGCTCCCCATTCGTCTTTTAATTTGTTAAAATGTGTTTTATTTTTGCTGGCTACTGAAAAGCTTGTGTTAATTTAGTTCATGTTTAGGTCTGTATCGCACTAATATGATGCATGCTGGGTGACACAGTACTTGATGTACCTTGCAGAGTTGCTAGCAGAGACTCATATAGTGTGGAACTCTTCCAGGAAGTGCAATACAAAAAATATAAATGTCAGAATCGGTGACTTATTTTGTTACCCACAGAATACAGAGCTTCTGCTGAATCCTGTATGCTGTCCAATGAACCATCTCTGCTCAAGTCTCCTTGAAGTCACTCCTTTCTCTTGTGGAAGAAAAGTTCTAAGCAGTAGTTTGTTGCCTCTTTTCTCCTCACATCTATCAAAACATTTCTGTTCCTTCAAAATTCAGCTCTGAGTAATTGTCACCAAAACAAAGTCTGCTCCAGCCAAATAACACTGGTTTAGGCCATTCCTAAAGATAGCACAGATAACTTTCATGTCCTCCTCTGCATGCGTTTGAACATCAGGCTAACCCAGAGTCTATTGTGATGGTGCAGCTGTGTGAAGGCAGAGGAAACTTTGGTTTCTGTTTTTGCTTAATCCTGTGTTGTGTTTTCTGTTCCTACCAAACTGCTTTGTTTGAAACAAGCAAGCTTTCAGCTGTTACTTTGCGACTTTAAAAATGGCTTCACCAAACAGTACTTAATCTTTAATTGTTAGCTACAGTTTATGGTTCAGATAAAGCACTGAACTGTGGTAATTGGAAATGAAAGAGTCTGATCTCTTCATGGTCATACTGGTACAAGTGGTAAGTCATTCCCAGCAAGGTGACACATAGGTTGATGCAGCCTCTCATGCGCCAGTGGATGGTTTAACTTGGAGCCCTGCACCGAGCAGCGGGGTGGACCCAGTGGCCCTCTGACCCCTTCCAGCTCTACTATTCTCTGATCCTTTGGGCTAATGTCTTTTTGGAAAGAATGTTACTTTTTCAAGCCGCATGTACACCCATTGTGTTAAATAAAGAAGATAGTTGGAACACAATCCTATGCCTGTCTAGATAGAAATAATTACAGCCATACTAGCTGGAAGGGAGGCTGAGAGTTGGGGAGTTTTTTCCATCTAAAGTTGCTGAGGTTTGGGTCCTGAGTTGCTTGTATCAATGGAGTTTTCTCAGGCAAAAAAATTTGGAGGCATCCTGGTGAGAAGTGTGTTGCATGGGCATTTCCAGCAGACTGCAGGGGGAGGCCAGTAAGATGAGGGATGCCTGTGTATCTCATTTTGACTTTGCATCTTGGCTCCAATTTTTGCGTGGGATAATGATTCTCCTCTGAAATCTGGAATACTGCTGGGCATCTCATGCATTTTTAGCAGCACAGCTTGGGAAATATTAAGTGACCTTCTAAAAGCTATGAAATCCCTCCCATGGTCTTGCGTCTGAACTGCAGCACAATTGTTGCATCCAAAGTGGGGGGGGGGCACTAGTAGCTAGTGGGTGCTTGAAGGAAATACTAGTGTTTGAGTAAAGTGTGTATGAGAGCCACTTAGGTGTTAAAGGATGGAACTCTTCAGGGCTGCTGACATCGCTAAAGGAAGATGTGATGGAAGAATACAAGATATTATGGAGGTCAATGGTTTGTTGAAATTCTTAGCTCCCCATGCTGCAGTGAAGTGTTAACCTTTAGGAAGAAATTAGACTGTTAGGACTCAGCCTCTAAATCACTATGAAGTTCTTCAAGCTAGGATATGAAACCATGCTCTGAAGTGTGTTTGCTGTCGGTGCTTTGCAATAATCATGATTAAGTGTAACATCAGTGTTAAGGACAACAGCAAAGGCAGTTTCTGCTGCTGTCTGCTTGCAAGCTTCATTGATTTTTTTTTTCTTGCTGTGCCCTGTGAAGGCAACTTCACCTCAGCAAATTTAAACCATGGTTTTGTATACTGCTGGAATCTTCACCATGGTTTGTTCCCTAATGCTGGTCAGCACAGACCATCATTCTGCTAATGCATGCCAGGTGTCCACTCAGGCACTTACAAATGCATTCATCTCCTGCTAAAGCTTGTTTTGCCAGCAATTATGTTCAGTGCCTTTAAACATACAGCCAGCCTTCTGGATTGTCAGCAGCTTTAGTTTGAGAACTGGCTTCAGATGCAGTTGGTGTGTCTGTGATGAAGTGTTCCTGACAGACCACAAGGGGAAACTAGGGAAATCCAACATTCTAGAGGCACGCTCAGGCTTCCTGGTGTTCAGGAATTTCTTTCATGCTGATCTACTTCCAAGGAGGCCCTGTGCTCCACAACGGAAAGGCCTGCAGCAGCTTGTCAAATTCCTCAGGGTTAGAAGCTCACCTGAGCTTCCCAGTTGCAAGTAATCCTGGTATCTGAAACACAATTAGGCAGAGTGTAATGGGTCTCTAATCTGATCAGACCCATATGGAATGCAGCAGGGCTCGGTAGCACAGAATGGCACCTCTGTCTGCTCCACTAAGCATAAATCACTTAGGAGTTTGTTCACTGTAATTTATGTAGAGAATTACCTGATGTTGAAAGAGCAAGGAATGACCCACAGCAGAACGGGTTTTATTTGCAGTTTTATTTCCATTTTACATCCGTGTGGGTGGATACTTCAAATTAATGAATAGAAAGAAATAATTACCTTTATCCCACCCCACCCCATCGCTTTCCTTCATGCTTTTATAGAATTATTCTATGATATTTGCATCTTAGCTGTCTACTAGCAAAATGTGGAACCTAGAAATAGAGGGGACTTGGCAGTTGTTACATTTGTACTCTTAGCCTTGCACACAAATCAGTCAGTTCAGTAAATATTACTTGCTAGCCAAAAAAGTGTCAAGTATCCACACTGACAGGTTATCTACTTCTAAAAAAAGTCTTCCTGATTGCCTGCCTACACATACCTATTTTAAATGTTTGTGGCCTCAAAGAATACATCTTGGAGACTTCTTTTCTGTGTTACCGCAGGCAAGACATCTTTTACAAACCTGTACTTTTCCATTTCCCTTTCCCTGCATGCAATTATCCAAATTTATCAGCGTAATAGTCCCTTGAATAATGTTGAGGGAGAACTTTGAGGTGAGCGTTAGTGTTGAGCAGGGACCAAAATCCAGGACCAATTTTTATTGAAATCTGATGCTTGTTAATGCTTGTGGGGCTAGGGAGTAGCCATAATAGGCACCATGCTAAATACATTAGCCTGTTGACTTTTATGGCCATACACCATATTATGACTGTAGAACACATGGTTTATATTCAGAAAGTTCCAAGTTCAGAACTGGGAAAGACCCCTGCCTTGGAGGCCCACTGCCGGCCAGTGCAGATAATCCTGGACTACACAAGCCAGTGATCCAATTCAAATGAGAGAGCTTCCTGTGTTTCTAAAATGGCTGCTCATGTTGGCCAATGTATGTTTGTTCTGGGATTGGCTGTGAGCAACTTTAGGCACATAAGGCAACAGGCCAAGCACAGAAGTAGAAAGTTCTGAATAAAAACTTCCTCTGACAGCAAAACGCAATGGAGCTGTGGTTTTTCATCTGCAGGACTTTCTTGAGAGAATGGAACACTATTGAAAAAAGGCAGAACAGTTACAAAATGGTGGCAAAAGGAAGTGGTCTTCAGCATTATTGGCTGGAAGTTACAAATATCACTTCCTGTTGGTGTCTGAGTTCTTTTTGGGGGTAGTTGAAGTCTTTGCTAGCGACTTCTTCATGGGAGCAACTGCCCTATTTCAGCTTGCTTCCTGTTATGTCCAAAGCTAACAATTGTACTTATCATGGGACGCTTGCCTTACCTTGAGCAGAATTTGCAGTTTCAGAGGTTCAGAGATCCCCTCAGCCTGCCTTCAGATGTTCTAGACCACAGATTCCAGGATTCTAGAGGTAGCTCTTATATTTATATCCTGCCTTTTTTCCTTTCAAGAAACTCAGTGCGGCTTACATTATCTCAATCATATCCCCATCCCCACAACAACAATCCTGTGAGGTAGGTTGGGCCAAGAGTCTGTGGTTGGTCCAAAGTCTCCCAGTGTATTTCACAGCTTGAGTGGGCACTAGAATCCAGAGTCCTAATTTTGTGTTCTTAACCACTACACCACTCTAGTCAGGAGGTGGCAACTTCCACTCTTTATAACTGAATGTAAAACTTCAGCTGCTACTGTGTTTGACAGGATGATGGAAGCTGGTTTCTCTTCCCCACCCTACCCTTCACATTTTAAATTGGGGTGAACAGCGTGTGGTCTTCCTGTTATTGTAGACCACTGTTCCCAGGATTTCTAGCCATTGGCTATGCTGTATTTCTGTTTTTTAAAAAAATACTTGAAATAATATAATTATTTTAAAATTATATTTAAATATGCACCTTTTAAATTTTTCAAAGTTTCCTTTAGCCACTATCCGTCAGGGGAGGCTCAACCATGCGCCCTTTCCTTTCTCCCCTGAATTTGCCCATCTTCAAGCCACCGTACCTGCCTCTTCTCCGCTGCCCATATCCTTTCCAGTGTGCCCGTGCATAAAGACTTCCCAGGCTCGAGTGAGCTGAGACCCACTGCCTGAGAAGTGGGCAGGTCGTCTCTCCCTGAGCTTGACCTGGTCTAGTCTGAACTCAGGAAGTCAGCTTGAATGTTTGCTGTTGACAGCTCTGTAGCATAAAACTAGGAAAGCCATTGGAAATAGAGCACGTGTTTTGCTTGTGGGAGGTCCAGGTTCAACACAGGCATCCGCAGGGAGGGCTAGAAAAAATTTCTGTCTGAAATCCGGCCGAGCTCCTGCCAACCAGTATCAACAGTACTGAGCGACTAGGTGGACCAATGCTCTGACTTGACATAATGCCATTTTTTATGGGCAAGGAATGGAATAGTAGTCGATTTGGAAGGCACTTATTGGGGCACTAAGTCCAACCCCCTGCTCTGCTTCCACATGCAGCCACCCATCTGGCCACAGGTCCGCCCCTTTCCAGCTTGGCAAAGTTGACACGGTGTGCTAACTTGATGTATTGCTGTGCAGGGCAGTTTGGGCTCTGAGCTCCACTGTGGCCCCCCCTGAACCGGCAGAAAAGCTTCTGCAAGTAGAAGTCAGATTGTTCTTCAAGGGTCTGTTTTTCCTAAGGCTTCAAAGGGTGGCAATAAGGTATTTTCCAGTTGTGACTCCTTCCTCCACCCCACTCAGCTCCGAGATGCTTTCCCTTAAAAGGCTTTCCTAGTTGCCCCAGGCTGCTATCATTTCAGCTCCAGCCTAAGATTTTTCTGTAGTCTCAGGCATTTTAAGCATTTTAGTATGTTAATTCTTTAAGATCTATCATGTTAGTCCTTGTGGTGCTGCTTAACTCCTGTACCTGATGGTGAGGTTTAGTTTTTGCATCTCTGTTTTTAGCTCATGCGGTGATGGTGTGTTTGTGTTACGCTTGTCAGGTTTTGTTTTGTTTTGTACAATGCCTAGAGGAATTGATTGTATAGGGAGTTTAACAGAAATCACACAGGCCATCTCTTCTCTTCCCTCGTGTGCCCCATCCTCTGAGTTTGTGAACCTGATGACATGGACCTTCCCTCTCTTCTATTTGGAGAGTCTTTGAGAGATGCTGATGGTCTGAAAAATGGAATAAAAATGCAGTACATAATAGATCTAGGAGGGTAGCCTGTGGCAAGATCTACCACAGTTACTAATTTCTGAGCTGGAGTATCTCAAAAAGAAACTTCTGCATCATTGCCTGATGCACATACCTTTAGAGAGCCACATATAGCGGCTATCGTCCAGTTTTAAATAGCTGCTTTCGTGGCAGCTTCTGGGGTCATTTGCTGATCACTGAGGCTCCACATTTGGGGCTTCTCCTGTAGAATTTCAGCTGGCAAGATCCTAAATCATGTAAGAGAAACGGTTCAGTCATTCTTGCTCCCTTTTAGCAAAGCACTTCATAGGGTCCCTTCTCTTTTGCTCTGCTGAGAACTGTGTGGGGAGATGTAAGGATTGTTTGTGCTTTTAGAAACTTCTTCAGGCTCCAAGTTTCCTGTCCTAGCCTATGGCAGGTGTAGATGGGCACAGTAAATAGCATAGTGGAATTAGGATCCCAAACCCATAAGAAATCTGCTTATAGGAAGTTTTCTGAACTGCAGTAATCCAGGGAGTGTATATTGAGGAAGTATTTCTATATTTTTTATATACTTCAGTTGATCTACCCTAGAAGGGAATTTTCTTAGAATTCTGATCAAGTTGATAAGGGTAGGAGGCCCTTTGAGTTTGCTAATTTGCCTTTGGGTAAAGCGGAACTCAGGAAGAGCTGTTTCAGCTCCAGGAAGGAAGCTTTTCTCTTCCCCTTCTTTGAGGTGAATGTGTGCCGCAAACAGGAGCAGAAGAGTTGCATCAGACAATATTAGTTTCCTGGCTGTGTCTTTCAACGGTTTTCAAAAGCAGCAGAGAGGAGCAGGTGAAATACAATTGCTTGCCTATGTTTTGACAGAACTTTCAAACCATTCTGTGGTGAGAGAAGCCACAATTAACTCGCCCAGCTTTCCGGACAAAACTGACATCTTGTTCACGTGTTTTGCTTCACTGACCCTGCCGTGTGGCTAAGTGTGGTTCAGTGCAAAGAGCAGACCTTCTGTGTGAGGTCCCCACTGAAGGGACTGGCAGGTTTCTTAACAGCCATTCACAGCCTACATGAATGCTCAGTGGGCACAGCAAACTTACTGCGCAGTTAATCTCACCTGCCGGGAATTCAAGGTTCAGAAAAGCCAGCGGTGTCGTGAAGTAAGTTTTGTTGGCCTCTTTTGGCCTTGCGTGGCATCCAGTAACTAGGGGTAAAACGTTGCCAGATTTGGTTTGGAGCTCCTAGGAGATGCGAGGGAATTCTCTCAGCCTGCAGCTATGATTCATGCTTGAAATGCCAGCCGTGATTCATTGTGCAAATGACTTAACTGATTAAAAAGTAACTGGCTGGTCCCTCACAGCATTCTCATAGAGTGTGTGTGTGTGTGTGTGTGTGTTTTGAGGGGGGGGTGAATTCTAAATCGTCTCCCATTTAGTAGGCTAAACAGCAGGCTTTGTGCTCCTTTGAAGGAGGGGGCTAACAAAACTCACGTGCCGAAGTCTGTTGTTTGGCATTCTTTGGAAAACAAGGTCCTGTGCAAAAGCATGAACAGGAGAGCTATTGTTTGTTATCTTGGGCAGCTGCTTGTCTTGGCACATGCATGCTGTCGGCCTAGCATGCTAATTCCTCTGCTGCAGTCATGGAACTGGATTGCTTAGAAGGTCTTGGAGTTTCTTTTGCAAACAGTTGGCTTCTCTAAAGCGTGGTGGTTCTGACTGTTCCTGGGGATGCAGAAGAACTTCTGAAAGAGTTTCTGCAGCCTTTTAGGGTGAGATGGGTGTTCTAGGACTCTGTTACTCTGTAAATTAGGCCTTCTCTACCTCTCACAAGAAAACTCAATTTTAAAAGGCCCTATCATTTGTTTTTAAGATGATGGATGAGATGAGAAGGAAAATATTTAAATGTCATTGGGGTAGAAAGCAGTCTGTCTAGCACAGGGGTGTCAAACTACTTCAAGCTGATGGGCTAAAGTTCTTGGGGTGGGGGGCATTCTAGTGGCAGAATGGGCCAGAATGCCAGCATAGTTGAGCTTAAAACGCTTACTGTCAGTAACTAATCTCAGGAGAGACATTTTGACCTTTTACAGGGCAATTTTTGCCAAACCTGGGTGATCAGGGAAAGGAGACGTGGCTATGTGGGGAACCCCAGAGGGACAAATTTGGCCCCTGCTCTAGCACCTTATTACATATGTAATCTGTGGGGAAGGTGGCGTGCGATGGTCTGTAGATTCCAGGGCACACACAATGCACAGTAAGCTTAAGGAAACGGCTGTTGTAATCTGACGGGAGGTTACTTACATGACTTCAAAATGGACTGGATAAGTCTTATCAATGGCTATTAGTGATAATTTGTCTAGCTGCAGTGGCTGTCTGAATACCAGATTGGAGGGACAACATGTTGGGCATGTCTGTTTCCTTCTGTTGCTCATTACAGGGTTCTGGGAAGCTGGCCCCATCTTGAAGCAGATCCTGCAGGGTGGTCTTACGGTCCCCATCCCTGATGCCTTCATTGCTGTTGCTGGCACAGGCCTGCAGGCAGTCTGGGCTCAGCTGGAGCCCTTTGTCCACGTTGGTCCAGTAGCTGCTGACCCTTCTCCTTTACTTCATGCTGCACCTTCAGCTTTGTGAGAGCAAGATTGTAGGCCTGTCTTACCAGTTATGTTTCTTGAGCCCTGACTGGAATCACTCAGGCTCTGTCCTGGGACTATCCCTCCGTCCTGGCTTTCCCCCTTGCGCCTGGCTCATCTTTTCTAGGATTTCTTACTTTCCCCTCCTTCAGGCATCATCTTCACTTGTTCGCCAAACTGCTTGCTTGGTGCCTTCTTCACAGCAAGAAGTTCTTGCCAAAAGGGTGGGCAGGAATCCATAAATAGCTCTCAGTTATGCTTTCTTGGCTTCAGTCTGAGATCTGCTGCCTAATCAGCATAAGACTGTCCTTAAATGAAATCTGTCTTGGTATTGGCTGCATCAGCTCTCTTCCTGATGGTGGTTTTCCTTCAAAGGTGCTGGAAAATGACAGAGCTGCAGAGCCTTGTCGAACGGTTGGAGAAAGCAGTGGGGCGCTTGGAGATGGCGTCCCGTGGCCCTGGTGGAATCAGTGGTTATGGAGATTGCTCTCCAAAAGGTAAGATCCTCAAGCTGAACATGGTGCTTCTCCTTCCTGAGTGTTGCAGTTGGTGGCCAGCGTGGTTCTGGGCGGTGTGCACGCTGGGACAGGACTGATATGTAGAACTAGGACACTTGTAAAAGTATCTCTGGATGATGCTTTCTCTGGCTGTTACTTGTGAATGCCTCAGGCAGAATCCATCTTCCTCTTCTTGCAGTTCATATCCATTTTTCTCCCTTTTTCCCTCCAGGAGTAGCTGAATATGTGCAGGCTTTTGACTCTCTCTTGGCGGGACCAGTAGCTGAGTATGTGAAGATAAGCACGGAAATTGGCAGTGATGTCCAAAAACATGTAAGGCTCCCGCTTCCAGGCTTCCTTCCCCTTTCCTGTTTTGGAAGAACCCGAGTCTGCAACACTGACAGTCGAGGCTTCGGAGGGCAGTAGGCTCTCTCACCCTCACAGGGCTGAAAGTGGCACCACAAAGGTGGCACACGAGCGACCGTGCCCATTCATCTTCTCGCTGTCCTCATTCATGCATTTTGCAAAGTGCTGACTCAAAGCCTGTTTGGCAAGGGGAAGAGAAAATACATCAGTGCCGCAGGATACAACAGCTCTCACTTACCACCTGCAGTGCTCTGTGGAAAATGCCCCGTTTCCAGCCCAGCAACAAGCTTGACTCAAGGCGTGTTCTTTCATAGGCCAGGCTGCTCCTTGTAAGTCTAGACTTTGCTGTGGTCTTGCAGATACTGCAATCAGCTCTTGAACTACAAGGGTGATCCTACTGAGGACTTGTCACCTTTTCTAACTAGCTGCCTTCATTAGTATTTATCCATCAAATTTTATATAACCAGGGCATTCTTTTTACTTCTGCTACCTTCAGTAGTGACAGTCAATACCAGATTGACTACACAACATAGATACAACTCCGTTCTCTTCGAGTAAAGGCAGTGCCCCTTTTCAGCATTCTGCCATCTCATGATTTATGCCAGCAATTAATGCATTCTGCTTTCGTCTGTCATGTTGCAGGCTGAGATGGTCCAGGAAGGGCTGATGACAGAGAGAGCTCTCCTCGTGATGGCATCGCAGTGTCAGCAACCCACAGCGGTAAGTGTCGAAAAGCCTTCATATTTCAGCAGGGCAGCAGCAGGACCAGGCCAGACGACCAAATTCCCTTTTCCAGCGGATGCTTCCATACAAAAAAGGAAAGGTCTAAGCAAGTTAAAGACTCCCCAGAATGTCAGTCTAAATTTGGAGTGAGCCCCGGGGAGGAGGGGCAGGTGGGGGATGCATCATTAAGTGGTACCGTGTAGACCGGGTCTTAAATATTAAGTTTTGCTCCAGAAGATGCACTAGGGCATATTTTCAGGTGATGTCTTATTTTTTCATGTACAAAATCTACATTTATTCAAATATAGTCATGCCATCTTCTTCTGGAACATTGTCATATCTCTCCAAACCCCAAATTGTGTTGCAACGGATGTACTAAATGCATCCGTCTGGCTGACGATCTTAAGTGGGGCTTATTTTTGGGGTGGGGCTTATTTTTGGGGTAGGGCTTATATTACAAGCATCCAGAAAAATCATGCTAGATTTTCCGGTTAGGTCTTATTTTTGGGGAAACAGGGTAGTGCCCTGTCCAGAAGAAGGATTTGGGGTTGGCAGGGAAAGTGGCACCTCCCCTGTTATTTGCTGGACCACAAGAAGCAGCCCAGTACATATATAGGGGCTTACTCAGGCCCATGTAGCAGGATCCAGCTCCCAGAATTGTCCCAAAATTTGGGCCCCTTAGGCAACTTCCGTGACATTATATAAGAATAGATACCTAGTGGTACTTCTCATTGCCTCTTCACCCACTCGTCTCAGGTCTCTCTTTAATGGCCTTGAGTATTTTGACAGAAGGCAGCATATAAAAATGATGAACTTCATTTATATCCAACTTGTCTCGCGTGCTGCTCAGGGCTCGATAGGCGGCTGTTCTCTTGCCATCATTTGAGCTTCATAACCTCTCAGAGGTATCAGTGGGTGGTCTGTGGGCACTCACTGAGCTTCACAGCTAAAAGGGGCTTGCACCTGGGGCCTCCCCAGTGCTGACTGAGGCACCATGTTGCCCTTGCCCTCAGTCCCCTTTGGTTGTTCTGCAGTAGATTACGCTGTTAGATACTATTTATTTTTTCTGTAATAGATACCACCATGTATTAGGTTGGTGTATCTTAGACGTCAAGAGATGAAGCCACTTCTTTGTGAATCCAAATGGGAGGCAGCCATCACTTACATTTAAGACTGGGGTATATATCTCGAGTGGAGCTGGGCTGTAGATGTTTGACCTTCAGCTCCTAGCGTTCCTCAGCATTGACTGTGCCGACAAGGGCTGCTGGGAGCCGCAGGCCAAACCTTTCAGGTTCCCCAAGGTGCCCTCTCCTGATTTATAGTGTACAAGAATGATCCTCTTCCCCAGAGAGAGAAGTCCATCCCTGGTAATTTTTGCTCAAGTCACTGCTCTTGAAAGGCTCTTGATCCGTGGAAGTCCAGACCAGCAGTTCTCCCCCCCCCACCACCACAATTTATATCCTGCCTTTTTCCTACAAAGGGCTCAAGGCAGCTTACATCCTTCTCCTCCTGCTCCATCTTACCCCCACAACAACAGCCCTGTGAGGTGGGTTGGGCTGAGAGTCTGTGACTGGCCCAAAGTCACCCAGTTGGCTCCATGGCTGAGCGGGGACTAGAACCCAGGTCGTCTGAGTCCCGGTCCCATGCTCTTCACCGCCACACCACACTGGCTCTCAGTTCTTGCAGCGTTGTAATAAGCAGCCCTCTGAAGAGAGTGGATTTGGTTGTATACCTGGCACACTGTAAAATCCCTGCCTGCAGAAGCCCCACCACCTGTGCAAGGTAAGCGCAGGCAGGTGTGGAGAAGCAGCAAGGCATCTTGCCCTGTGTGACCTTTGGCCTCTCGAACCGCTTGAGTGCCAGGACGGTTCTTCTCCCAGCGTGCTTCAGCTTAGCGCTAGGAATGACCCAAACGGACGAGGACCAGGGAGACCCAGCATCAGACCCTCCCCATGCCATGAAGCAAGTAGTTCTCCCACAGCCTCCATCGACTGGAAAGGATTATTGTTGAGAGAAGGATGTGTGCAGTCCTGAGCTCACTGGGATAAAAGAGTGGCGAGCGTAGCTTTCTCCCTCTTGCCGTTCCGATCCATACTGAATAGGGGAAGTCTGAATCGCCACGAGAGGAGGCAGCATGGAGGCAGAACGGACGGTTGTGCATGCGTCAGTCATGCATTGTCGGGCTCAATTTCCATAACTTTGCTGTTGTAGAACAACTTCTCCTCCCTGCTGAAGCCGATATCAGAGCAGATCCAAGTGGTCCAGAACTTCCGGGAGAAGAACCGTGGCAGCAAGCTCTTCAATCACCTCTCGGCAGTTAGCGAGAGCATCCCTGCACTAGGCTGGGTCGCTATGGTAAGAGGAAAATGGCACCCCTCTGTCCAAAGTTGTTCTGAATTTCTGACGCTGAAAGGGGAGCTGGATTTGCTGAAGGTGCTCATGCTGGTATGCCCTAGGTTTTAGAAGGAGCCCCTCCTTCCCACCCCCTGGAATGAGTGTGTGTACACACACACTGCACCTGTGCAATATTCGTCTATGAGAGGTGACCCACTCTCCCACCTTGCCTTTGTCACTGGTCAAACCACCATCCCCTTTCTGTGGGAAGTATGGGAATGGAAGATCTGTGTGAGAAGTACAGGGAACTCCTCCTCTAAGTACCCAGAATTGTTTGCAAGGGGAAAACTTTGGCAGTAAAAATAGAATAATTCAGTGTTGGTTGACCTATACACTTACTGCTTTCTGTATCTCTTGAGAACTTACCCAGTCCTTCTCACTTAATTTTCCAATCTCAAAATATAGCAGGGTTACCTTCCCTTCTCCTTCTATATCCTGACCTTTAAACCATAACATTCAGGATATCTGTTTACAAATAAATGTGGAGCAGTTTTGATGGGGCTGGGCTAAAATGTGAACTTATGTTCTGATCCGTATTCTTTTCTTCTAGGCCCCCAAACCAGGTCCTTACGTGAAAGAAATGACAGATGCCGCCACGTTTTATAGCAACCGGGTCCTCAAGGAATACAAAGATGTGTAGGTTTAGCTTTCTTCTTGGAAAAAAAAAAAAAAAATCCTAGAGTTGCAGAAAAACCTGAAGTCACATGGATTAAGCAAAGTCCTGGCAGTGCAGAACGAGAAGGCAAGGGTTTTCAGTTGATCCTGGCCGAATGGCTAGATTGTACTCCAGCAAGTGGCATTGCGTTTCCATTCCCTTGAAGGGACGTTTTGCAGTTCTTAGAGGTCAGGAGTTCTTAAACTTGCCAGCGAAGGCGGGCTGCACTTTTAAAGAGGAATACTTGAAAAAGCTAGAGGAAGTTTAAGGAAAGTTCTCTTACAAAATGGGGTGCCACTAATTAGACCATAAAGATGACCAGAATGACAGAGACGCAAGTGGTGATCTCGTGGAAATGGGCGAACCAGAATATAGCAGTGGGTTTGGGGCAGAATCTTGGGCATTTTTGCCAGAAGGCTCTGAACACAGCTTAGAAAGCTGCTGCAAACCAGGGGGGGTAGGAGATCTAAGCATCTCTTGCAGCCAGAGTTTCAGGTATCCCCCTGACCTGGAGCAATTAGTTTACCTGGCTCCTCTTTCTCCAGAGATAAGAAACATGTGGATTGGGTGAAAGCTTATCTGAGTATCTGGACGCAGCTGCAGGAGTACATTAAGGAGTATCATACCACTGGGCTGACCTGGAGCAAAACGGTGAGTATAGACTGCACATTAACCTTCAAGGCATCTTAAACAGCTCGCTGGGCTTGATCATTTTTCTTCTTGACATTCCTGGGTTATCTATTTCTTTTCTTTCCCTTCAGGGACCTCTACCGACTGATATGGAAAATGGATCTCGGGCTCCACCGCCTCGTGGTGGCCCCCCACCCCCTCCCCCTGGCCCCCCACCCCCTCCAATTTCTGCCCCTTCAAGTTCTGGTTCAGCTGACCCTGCGTCCCGCTCAGCTCTTTTTGCTCAGATCAACCAGGGGGAAGCCATCACTTCTGGTATGTGAAAAAGTTAACAGCCAGGGAAATAGCAGCTGTGCTCCAGCAAACCTCTTGGGACGGGAACTACAATTTCCCACCACCTTTTAAAGAACCAGGCCTTGTTGGTGTCTCATATTTAGAGAGGTGCTGTCCCTAATTTATTCAACCAACGGTTCCCTCCTCCCCCACTCTCTCTCACCACTAGCAGGTACCCTGTCTCTGTGTGTTGCTTAGAGACAGAAGGTTCGGAGGAAGGACTGAGGGCTGATGCTGTAGGGAGGCAAGGGGTGGAAAACAGCCCTTTTGCTCTTCGTGGCCCAGTTGGGGAAACAAGGAAGATGACCGGACAGAGCCAGGCTTGTGCTTGTGGTCCTTCACTTTGTGGGGATCTTTTTGGAAGTGCTTCTTGAATATCACAGTTCCAATTTTGGTGAAGTAAAGCGGTTATGTTTGCAGAGGTGCATGTTCTGAGGTCTGAAATACTTTGACCTGTGTGGGATTTGGTTTTAGTTCCACTGTATTATTGCAACAAGCACATTGTTGATTTTTGTCTTTATTTTTAAAAGTCATTTAAGTCATGTTTGGACCTCTTGGGTAAAAGTAAGATAGAAATGGACCAGTGGATGCTGGACTGGAAGAGGGGACTCATTTTGTCTATGGAGTCACAAATGGTGTTGGTCTGGCTTGCACCAGTGGCGATCTTGACAGGCTGGAGTGCTGGGCTGAAGGCAACAGAATGCAATTCCATAGGACAAGGGAACAGTCCTATGCACAGCCACAAGATGGGAGAAACTGGGCTCAGCCACACTGCAAGTGAAGAAGGGTTTTGGGATTTTTGTAGGTCACAAGCTGAATATGAGTCAACGATGGGATGTGGCCTCAGAAAAGCAAATGTTACATTGGGCTGCATTAATAGAAGTGCAGCTTCCAGATCATATGACATACTTGTTCCCTTCTGTTCAGCACTAGTTAGGCCTCCTTGGAGTATTGTGTCTAGTTCTGGGCTCGGCAATTTAAGAAGAATGGGAAAGGTTAACAGAAATGATCAGGGGACTGGAAACTGAGCTCTGTGGGGCGAAATGGGAAGGACTGGGCATGCTTAGCCTGGCGAAGGAAAGACTGTGGGAGACGATGGCACTCGACAAGTGCTTGAAAGGCCACCACAGAGGAGGGCCAGGATCTCTGCTCAGTCACCCCCAAGTGCAGGACACAGAATAACGGGCTCAAGCTGCGGGAATCCAGATTCCGCTGGACATCAGGAAATGCTTTCTGACTGTGAGCCTACTATGGCGATGGAACCAAGGACTCAGGGAGGTCGTGGGCTCTCCACACTGGAGCCATTTGCCAGGGATGCTTTAACTTGGGGTCTTGAAGTGGGGCTGGATTTGATGGCCTGCAGGCCCCTTCCAACTCTGCTCTTCTAGGAATTCGATAAGTAGTTGGAGCAAGAGGACTCGTGAGTCTGACCTTGATTCTTTGTCAAGGGCCAACAGCCGTGCTCGGCTGTCTTGCACCGTGCAGGTAGGATTAGGTGCCTGGCACTTGGAGCAAGGGAGACTGGCATGAGAAGTTGCCCTCAGGGCCCCTGGGACACTGCAGTGCACCCCAAAGGGGAGTCGCCGCAGCCCCACTCGTGTAGGGATGGTGGGGGAGCAAATGAGTGGCCGTGCCTCTCGGTCGCTAAAGCTGGTGACCCCTCAAGGTGGGAGTGAACGACGGCTTCCTTCCTAGGCCTGAAGCACGTGTCCGACGACATGAAGACCCACAAGAACCCCTCACTGAAGAACCAAGGTGCAATGCGGGCAGGACCCAAGCCCTTCACCGCGCCAAAGCCTGCCTGTGCTCTGAACCCCTCCCAAAAGCTTCCCCCAAAGAAAGACCCTCCTGTGCTGGAGCTTGAAGGGAAGAAATGGAGAGTGGTGAGTGTTGCCTGGGGACGGGGGGACCCTGTTTGCAGCTGCCCACGTGCCCCTAGTTGTTTTCCAAAGCAGCAAAGATTAGCCGGCCGAGTCTTCACAGGACTGCTGCTCTCCCAGCACCTTCCCTGTGGCAGCATCTGTATCATGTAAGTGCAGAAAAGACAGGGATGCGGCACAGCCTGGAGATGTCACCTTCCTGAGCAACCCACCGAGAGAAAGGGAAAGGCCTGAGCCTTTGTGGTGGCTGAAATAGGTTTCAAAGGTAGGTAAGGAGCACCTTATCGCAGGGGCAGAACCATAGATAAAGGTCCTGACCCAGTCCTCTGGGGTTGCTCAGGTGGCCATGCCCCCTCCCAGGTCGCGGACGAGCTGGCTTTTTGTGTGCCCCACCCCACAATTCTAGGGCCTCGTTCTTGGCCATGCAAGCTGCGATCTCCTGACATTTTTAGTATTTTGGCCATCTTCCCTTTTGCCTCGCACCCCAGCCACTATTAGAATGCAGACTCGTGGGCTTTTCTGAAATGTAATTTGGCCCTCAGACTGACTGGTTCGACATGCTGGAAGTCAGAAGGGTATGGGTGAAAGACTGCCGGTGCTTGGGACGTGTGCAGTGCCTCGGCCCTGCCTGCCATGAGTGGAATTCTCAGCTTGCATGATATGAACAGATAGTGCAGTCCCACTTTCGTAGCGCGGAACGTGCTCCGCTGTCCCTCTTTCCTGGCATCCTCTCCTCTGTGGGTGGCTGACTTCGGCACTCTCAGCAGGCCGTTCTGTTCTCCAGCTGCTTGTACAAGGGCTAGAACAATCCAGGCCTTTTCACAACACACATGCAACAAAAAGGCACTTCTCTTGACAGGAAATAAGGGATGCAAAATCTTTCTTGATGCGAAGTAAGTCTGCACGTAGCTGTATGCATTATCCTGCTCTTCCTAGATTTTACTTAAGCTTGATTTACAGACTCCATTTTTTGTCTGCTTTTCAGTTATTTTCTCCCAAAGTAGCTCATACTAGTGAGAGAGAGGTTACAGGTTACATTTTGCCATCAGGTTACAAAATGAAAAGACATAAGATGTACAGGGGACAGGGAGTGAAGGAGGATTGTATTTTCAGGGTTGGAACTAAGTGATGAGCTATAAACTGGGACTTAAATGTGCTTCAGGCTTGGCTAGTCTTCCCTCATTGAGGCTTTGCTTGAGGCTCTTGTTCACTCAAGGTGGGCTGAGTGTGTCTGGACATCTGTTAGAATCCAGATCCTAATGCACTTTCTTAGAGGCCAAATGGAGCACAAAGCTGCTTTTTACCATGCTCTGACCTAAAGTAGGACAGACCCTCCAGGCCTCCGTATGTCTCCCTTTGGGGGCTGGAATCAGTCCACAGGTCAGGTGACGGTCTCCTGCCTTCCCGGTACAGCAGGCAGGCACAAGGACACAGGTGCAGCAAAGCTGTCTCAGCCTCGGGGTCCGTGCACACTTGGATGCGGTGGACAGGTTGACTCCCTCTGCCTTGTGGCTCTGCTTGACTGGAACGGTTGATCTGAAAGAAACCGGAAGTTCTTAAGGAACCTTCATGGCGCTGTGAAAGGGCAAGATCTGCGCTTGGCAGAGCCTTGCGTCAGAACAAGTGCTGTTTTGAGAGGGTGCCTGCGTGCCAACACAGGCAGAACGTTGGAAGAGCGTCTCAAACCGAATCTGCAGTGTTAATAGCAACGTCATAATTGTTGAAGCCGGGCAAGCACAGCTTGGTCCAGACACTCTTCTCAGCACATTGCAGCCGCATCTTCAGATGGGCCTGCAGCTCCGAGCATTCCTGTGGAAGGGGGCCGTACCCAGACTGAGCCACCCTTCCTTCATTCCTTTCTCTAGGAGAACCAAGAGGACGCTTCCAATCTGGTGATCAGCGAGACAGAGCTGAAGCAGGTGGTCTACGTCTACAAGTGCATGAACAGCACGCTCCACATCAAGGGCAAGATCAACTCCATCACGCTGGGTAGGTTCCCACTTGCTGGGCCTGCATGTAAAGCAGGGAGGGGGCAGGTTCCAGCAGCCTCCCTGCTTGAAACCTCCTGATGCACCAAGCATTTGTCACCCCTGGGAGTTTTTTGAGGAGAAGGGGTGGAATGGAGATGGCCGGGGGGCAAAAGATGCTCCTGGGACGCCTGGCATGGTAACATTGCTGGAGCTAAGCAAGTGTGGAGCTGGAACAGAGGGGCAGCACCAGAATGAAAGGGGGCACTGCCTGGGGCCCATAGGATTAAAAATGCACACATTAGCATATGCTAATTTACATATGCTCTGGAATCCCTGCCTATACCTGTCATTAAAGGACCCTGCCTTCCAAAGAGCACCTATTTGTAAAAAAGGATATATGGACAGGGGAGGGGAGGGCATTTGGTTTCAGGCAGCGCCCCACCCCCCAGTTCAAAGTGAGGAGGCAGGAAGCAGTGAAGCGCATGGGAGCAAAACCCCAGCTAATCCAGGGGGCTCAGATGGAGCAGATCATAGGAAGTTTGTGCCCCCGTCTTTCAGCAAATGCCCATGGACATGCAGGGTGGAGGTAGTTGGCCTCATTTGGGGGCCCCACTCTGATACCACCTCGGAGAAGTCCAAAAGGGGGAACCAGAAGCCAAAAATAGGATACTCTGTCAGTTTCTTCTAGCTGGGTGACTTCTAGTACAATCACTACTGTCAGTGGGAAAGATGAGAGTTACACAACTGAAGGGCCCTGGTTGGAATGTCTACGTAAAATCTTCCTACGCAGTGCAGTGGGCCCGTCTTTCTTTCATATGCCTGCTTCAGCAGCAAAAAAGTCCTGCTTATGCTGCTAGTTCGTCTCGCAGAGCGAGCTGTTCCTCCTCCTTGAGTGTTCACTGATGCTCTTGGCCAGAGAGGGGATCGCAAGCGGCGGATGAACCACTTCCAGAAACACCTAGCACCCCTTTCCGAATATTAGTGAATCTTGGCTTGGACATCCAGAGTCAAATCTCCTTACGTTCTTTGCACTTGGGGAGGAGGTTGAGGAAGCTCGCCTTCATACAGCACTGCTGCTATGCTTGGTTCCTAGAGTCTTTGGACAAAGGCAGCTCTCTGCCTCAAGGAAGCTCGCTGTTTGCCGTGGGCAGAGGGGCGAGGAGGGTCTGAAGGGCTTCCCGGGAGCAGAGTTCCCGCTTCGAGAGGAGAGCAGGCACTGCTGGAGTTGGGGATTAAAGGTTAAGCCCAGGCCTTGTGGAGAGGGAGTTAAAATGAGCCGCATGTCTAAATATTCTCCCTTGAGTCTGGAGCTGTTGGAATATGAGCCTGATATCAAAAGATTAATTTCTGAAGCCAGCCCTGTAAGCTGCTTTTCCTGGGGTGGGTAGCAACTGCACCTGCTCAGGTAGCCAGGTGGTCAACTGAGCCATGCCAGGTTGGCTTTCAGGGCTAATTCACATGCTATAGAACTGTGTTCCTGACCCTCATGTACACTCCTGGTGTGTGACAGTAAGCGCATGTACATGATTAAGTTCACCCACGCATACCTGAAATACTACTGGACTAAGTGGGCCAGATTCCACATTGGCTTGTCTCCTTAGTTTTACCTTTCCCGAATGTGGCTTCAATTTTTCAACTGGGGGTCAAGGCAGGCAGCTGTAACATGGACTGGCCCAAGCCGGTAGTCAGTGGCTGAGCCAAGGCAAAGCTGACCCCGTTATGGCCACCATGAGCTGCAAGGTAATCCTGGCCCAGAATTATCCCTCACGTGCCGTTACTCTTGCTTGTTCCCCTGCAGATAGCTGCAAGCAGCTGGGCCTGGTGTTTGACGACGTGGTCGGCATTGTTGACATCATCAACAGCAGGAATGTTAAGGTTCAGGTAAGTGCACAGGCCTTGCTTCCTTCCTTTCAGCATTGCAGCTGCTTTGCGCCCCCGTTTTTTCTGAATGGCAGAAGCTTTGGCTGCAGGCCTCAAGGTTCTTGAGATGGAGTTCAGTCTTGATTCTTGAAGCACTTACTATAATTTTTGCTGCTCTCTGTCCTGAAGGGCTCCCAGCACCTTCTAGAAGTCTTGGAGTGCTATTCAGTGGTTGCTAGCCAGCTGAGCCATCAGGAGCGGTTCAGGGCTGACATGCAGAAGAAGCTGGACTGTTATAAGTGGCACAGTTGAGCTAGCATCTAAATTGGAAATACATATTGCAGAATATTGACAGCGGTGGACAGAAATCTAAAACCAGAATCTGCATGATAAAACATGGAAGCAATAACTACAAAGCCTGGGAAAATTTAAAAAAAACCTCTCTACCTGGCCTGGAAAGGCAAAATTGACAACAGGTGGGAAAGGCATTCTGAAGAAGGGCTGGCCACCACACAAGCAGCTCTGAGAAATTCTCTGCCTCACCTTGTGCGGTGGAGAGAACCGGACAAGCTCCTTCAGAGTTGCACTTGGGTCCAGGCTGGTTTGTGTGGGGCCACGCCATCCGTCGGAGCCGGCTGTGTAAAGCTTTAAAGATGGCAACCAGTGCATTAGGCCAGGGTGATGTGTCATTTCGCATGGGGGACTTGAGCCTGGGGGAGCTCACTGCATGAGTACAGCCAGTAATGAACTCTCAGCCTGTTCTGCCTCTCAAATTGCACAAATGGAGCAGGGGAGAACCTTGCAAGCCGCCTTGGCTCCTTGCAAAAGGAAGAAAGGTGGAGTGTAAACAGTACTTAATTGTGCCTGGGAGTGGACAAAATGACTGTGTCCTCTCAAAACTGGCTGCTTAACATCTCCAAGTGCTGGTGTGAGTTGGTGGACCTTCCGTGGTCTCCTTTCTACGAGTTGATGCTTCCGCGAGTGTCATGCCGTAGGGATGCTACCAGAACATGCTTGTATCCGAGGCGGCGGCAACCACTTGACAGCTTTGCTTTTCCTGCCAGGTAATGGGTAAAGTGCCAACCATGTCCATCAACAAGACTGATGGTTGTCATGTCTACCTGAGCAAGAGCTCCTTAGACTGTGAAATCGTCAGTGCCAAGTCTTCGGAGATGAACGTCCTTGTCCCCACGGGCAGCGGTGACTTTGTAAGTCTCTCTCTGTGGCCACTGGGGGGAGTCACTTTGGCTGGTGGACTTGGGATTGGCAGCAAGGGGGAAACGGCAGCAGTCCTTGCTTGAAGCAGAAGTGGGGCTGGGGAGCCCTGCTGCCTGAAGACACTCACCTGGCCAGTGAACTGTCAGGGCAGGGATTGGCCTCACTCTGTCACATCTCAGGAGTGCAGCAGTGGAAATCAAGGGGCCAAGCCTGAAACGGCCGAAATCGGCCTTTCCCAGCCTGGTGCTGTGTGAGAGTGAGAGATGGGGGGGGGGGGCTACAGTTCCCAGCCAGCATGGTGTACCCCTGGAGTATACCAGTTTGGAAGAGGCTGCCCCAGTGGGCATGAAACCCCAGTCACTCAGGTGACCCTGCATGGGGCCGCTGCTGCTGTGCGCATTTCTCACTCGTTCAGCCATCGCATCTTGAGGGGAACCCGCATGTTCCCCGACGGCAGGCCACTAAGCAGAGGGGTCGGGGAAAGCAGCTTTGGTGCCTTCGTGGTGGTCTTCCCAGGACCTCCTGGCCCTGTGGGGAGGCAGCTTCATGTGCTTAAGGGAGGTCCTGATCCAGTGTGGCACGATGCTTCTGGCTGTGGTTCAGAATTTGTAAAGGGCAGCCTCCGGTGTTGAGGTGGCAGAGCCGCCGCAGATACTCCAGGGACCTCCCTGAAAGCAGCACTGACCTCAGCATTTTGTTCCCCAGACCGAGTTTCCCATCCCCGAACAGTTCAAGACGGTGTGGAACGGGAAGAAGTTAGTCACCACAGTGACGGAAATAGCTGGATAAACTCACCTGGCACGAGACGCCTCCCCTTGCCCCACTTGCTGTGGGACCAACGTGCTTCTTTGGGGATGATTTTTAGATTTGCTGTACCTTTTCCCACTCTCAATCTGCTTCTGTCTTCTCCCCGAGAGACTTGCCTGCCTGCCTTCACTGAAAATACCTCAGGCTGGGATTTGGGGCAGGGCGGCAGGATCCTTCGCTTCTCTGTTGATCAGCAGGAAGGTGTGGCGTTCTGGTGGGAGGCAACCCCATCGTCAATCAGCTTTTTCCCGGCCTTTCTGCGCTGACTGGAGCTGGTGCCTGTGCCTGGCTTCCAGGTGTTGTTCCCTATCCTTTACGCAGGGAACACTCTCCCTCTTGGAATAAAGCAAGTATCAGGGTCTAGAGTCCCCAGTGATGTGTGTGTGAACGTGTTCCCAGCAGGTGTGGTTTGGGGAAGTACAAGGGATTCTGCTAATCTAACCGGGGGTGCTGAAAGGTTCTGGGAATGGCTTTGTTGGACCAAAGGCTGCAGACTGGGATGTGTAGCATTCCTCCTTCTCCCAATTATCCCCCCTCCCTTTGTGCTCTGTGTGAAATTCTGTGTTGTGCCATGATGTTGGGCGGGGGGATCTCTTGGTTACAGGTGCCACAATACAACCACAGAACAGACCCCCCCTCACTTCGCAAGAAGCTAGAACACCGCTGCTCGCTCACTCCCACTCAAGCCTTCCTCTAAAGGGAAAGTTTATACCCAAAGGGTCCTTTTTCTGAGCAACTGAACACTGTTCAGTCTTCCAGGGCAGTTTTTTTTCTTGGAAGCCATCCCTCTTTTCGAGGGAGGGGTAGTTCACCATTCCAAGACCAGTATTTAATTATTTGTAAGCACAAGCTCATCACGGTCGATTCTGTCATTCTTTCATCAGAGTTTATCTACACTGTAGAGGCAGGAAGACTTTCTTCCTCTGGCCATTCCTTCGCCTTCACTCGGCTTCTTCCTGTCCACAGAAAGTCCGGTGTTTGCAACGTGCTGCAACGGTTGTGCCAAGGCAAGGTTCTGCACTGGCCCAAAGGGAGCTGTGGGTGCATCCAGTAGTGTCTCAGCATATCTTATTTCCCCCTTTGCCACATGTGTTTTTCCACTAAAATGAAACTCAACAGAAGATATGCAATTTTTCTTTGGAGACTGTCCTGTGACTCTTGTCCTTCTCTTCTGAGGCTTGTGGAAATAAACTTTCTTATGTACTTAAAAGTATACTGAAGATAGAATAAAGTTAATGCCAAGTTGCTCAAGAAGGTTGTGGTCCTTATTAAGCTCACCTGTAGGCCGCTTCGAGCCAAGAGAAGCCTTTGAATCAGTTGTTTAGCCATTTTTAGACTGTTTCCAGGATACAGTCTTCCCTTTCAGCTACAGCACCAGAAGAACTGCTGCTTTGGACTAACTCTAGTCTGCCCACCATCCCATCCTAACCTAACCTTGTAGGCTTCTTCAGATGGACCCAGGCCTTTTGGTGACTTCATAGCTTTTGTGCTGGCTCTTTTCCCTCCCCATTAAAAAAAAAAATGAAAATTTCGCCTAAGGTTTAGTTACTGCCAGTAAGAGATTTAGGCTAAAATAGCAGATAAAGGTTTGCATTAAGCCCCAAGCACTGCAGCAGTGTGGCTGATAATTGGTTTTGTCAACCAGTTAACAGTGTGAAGGACCTCTCCTTGGGCCTGTTCCTGGGCTGAGGCCGGTGAATTCCATTGTGCAGGCAAACAGCCAGCACACTGCTCTGGTGCGTTAGGACTGGAGCTCAGAAAACCGAATCTGCATTCATGAAGGGCTTCTGGTGATGGAGGAATGCGTGAGCATAAAAGACACTCTCTTCCGAAAGAGTCCAGCTTCAGTTCTAGTGAAAAAACTCAAATGCTCAAGTGAATGTATTCTGGTACATGCAGGATGTGATGACAGCACAAGTGGCTGCTGCTGAAGCAGCACAATCACTTGGACCTGGATACAGAATCCGGCTAATTCAAGCCTGGCTAAGATTGGTCTAATTTTGCAGGTGCCCCTCGTGCTCTCTTTCAAGCCAAGACTGGGTTGGTGAAGGAAAGTTGGCCAAACACTGCCAATAATGGTTTTATTTTATTTTTATTGGAATGTATTGCATTACAAAATCCCCATGTGCCTAGTTTTTCTTGTTACAAGACAATGGAGTGCAGAAACACGTGAACATTCCTTGAGGGGACCCCCCCACCCTCATGCACACAGCCCTGTAGCTAACCTCCCCTTTGCGTCACAGGAATCGGCTGCTGCATCACAGGCCACCTCCTTTGAGGACTGAGAAGTGCACCCGAGGAGGTCTGGAGCTTTTCGCTGTAAAGAAACCTCAGCTAGTGCAACCCCACCCAGGTGCTTCCTCGTGCTCCGAGAGGCACCGAATCTCCCTGAGAGCTTGAAAGGCGCTGCACTTGCCGCCTCAGTAGGTTTGTGCAGTCTTGCGTAATTACTTGTTTCGCCAGCATTTGGCTTCCTCTTGGCTGCTGCCTAACACTGAAGTAACATTTAAAAAAAGCTTTCTCTGATAGTCAAATAGGCTTTTTCCAGCACATGTGGAAGAACCTGAGGGTAGAGTTATCCCTCTGTTAGCCTCAAAGCAAGGAGAACCACCCATGTTGTTAAATGAACAGCATTGGCAGGTACCGCTATGGGTGGGTGTTGGAGGAGGAGAGCACTTACAATGGAAGTCAGTTAAGGGTGTGAATGCACTCAGTCAGCATCTAGTACATCAACTGGTAATACCCTCCTCCCCCAGGCAAGTGCTATGAGTAGATGCCAAGCAACTGTGTGTCACTAGACTTAGAAAAATGGGGGGGAAAGGACCAGCATCTCTCACTGCAGGAAGGGCAAAATGTTCCTGTAGAACCACTCTTTGGAAAAGCGGAGGTGATCCCCCGGTGCCCCGAGGAACATCAGTTTCCCAGCTTCATCCATCTCCTTCAGCCCCAAACGATCCTGAGAAAAGGAACATGTCTATGTTAACACAAGGGCTTTTACTCATAAAACCCATGCAAGTCATTGGTTGAAGCACATTTGTCTTTGTCAAATACTTTACTTTAAAAAAAAAAAAAAACCTGGAGTGAGCCCTAACTGCATCTACACTCCTAAACTGGTTTGAAACCAGCCTGACTACTATGGCTTCCTCTTCGCAGAACATGGGTTAATTCATTTAAGGGCACGGAGGCTATTTCTGTAAAATGCTAAAACCCATTCATTGGGTGTAGATTTGTTTTCCAGAACGCAGCAGCAGGGCAAACGGGACCTCTTATTTTCTGTGCGCAGTTTGAAAACAATTGGGTAGCTCATGCCGTGCAGTGCCTGTTCAGGGGGGCCCCAACATGCTTTGCAACCTCTGTGTCCAGCAGGATCTGTTTCATCACATCGCGCTAACCCTTCCTTGAACAGGAAACTTGTGGGACACTACGGAGGAAGCAATGTTGCCACTACTCAGAAAAGACAGCTGCCAAGGATGATTTTATCTTCTGAAAGTTTGAGCCATTAAACCAGTATACCATCCGAGGGAATATCTGAGTTGCCCCATGAAATCAAGGAGGCTGCTTTAGCCAGTTCAGATGGGTTTTAATTGGAAAGGTGCAGCATTACAAATGAAATGGCTATCCGTGGTCTGTACTTGTAATGCAGCAGTACAGGGTTACGGGAGAATGGAAGGCAAAGCATCCACTGCACCAAAAGCCCTGCCGGCACAGGGAAAGCAGGGAGCAGCGATTCGGTTCTGCTCTTTTCGGGGCGCCCATCCCATGCCCTCCTTCCACACCCCCTCGCAAGGAATCCAGCCATTCATGGTTGCCACATGAATTAGGGAGATGCGCCATCCAGAATGGTTACCTCTGTGTACAGTGATGTTTCCTTCAAGGGGATGGTCTCTTTGGACTGTCCGCTTCGGTAGTAACCAAACCACTGTGGAAAGTTGGCAGGGGGAGAAGATGAGTTTCTCATGTGGCCAGTTTGCACATGCCTGGAAGGGCTGCTAAGACCCAGTTTCCACTTAGCTATCTCTGGCTTGTTACACGTGAAGCAGAAGCGAGTTCCATGCTGCTTCTTGCTACCCAAACACTCCTAACCGGAGCAGGGCAATCGGCTTCCCTGGATTGATTCGTCACACGCCCTGAGCTGCTGGAGACGCGACAACCCCGAACTTGTTCTAGGGTTAGAACTCGCATTTCTCTCTCTCCCAGCAGGCCGCAGTCCAGGTTCTGACCTCCAGATCAGCTATGGGGCGTCAAGGGAGAAGTCCTGATAGAAAGAGAACTGCTCCCAATCTACCCAGCTCCCACACAGCTACACATCCCATCTCCCCTTTGCGCCTGAACTCCCCTGGATGTGAACCAGCCAAGGCGGCAGGCAGAGCTCATTCCCTTGGCCCCCGCCGGGCAATGCGGCCTCTTCTAAAGTGGAAGGTGCAGAGATGCTGGGCACTTGGAAGTCATCCTCTCCAGTGACAAGGAAACACTCCTGTTAGGCATTTTCTGGCATCAAGGCCAAACCTTAAGTCTTTAATTATGTTATACTTGGCAGAAATTTATTTTATACCATTTTAATTCTGTTCTTTAGCATAAAAGTTCCCAAAGCAGTTTACAAAGGTAAGAAATGGCAGGGCCTGCTCCTGCAGACTTTCTAAAACTCACAACTAAAATGAAAGAGAATTGGGACGGAGGAAAAAAGGCCTTCAAGGGGGAACCTTGTAGTTACAGCAAACTCACACAGCACATTTCCTTTGTCATCAGTCTGGAGGACACAAACAGCTCAGAGTGTGGTGTTAGTGAAAACTCACATTCCAAACTGCAGCCTCTGAACAGGGCAAGGGAGAACTGGGCATGCATAACTGGTGTCAACCAACATGGGGCCTTTTCTAAATAGGTGAGCAAAGTACTCGGGAACGAGAGGCAAAGAAAGATGCACCTTACCTGGTTGATGAGCTCAACCCAGCAGAGCCTCCCGTTTGTTGAGATGCCTTTCCCCCACCTGTGCAGGTGGATGCCCTGAGTTGCTCACCTCGGATGCAGGAGGATCCACCATGGTGTCATTGAGGAACTTCACCATCACAAATTTCCTCAAGGTCATCAGGTTTTTCTTGTAAGTCTGGTTGAAGCCCTAGAAAAGGCAGCAGGGGCAGCAAGAGGATGAGGGACAGAATGAATAGGAGCCATTTGGGGAATTTTGCTTATAGGCTCGGTCAATGGCTGTGCCAGCATCAAAATCTAATCCTGGGCTAAGACCAGCCAGCTTCTGTGCCCCAAACTATATTATGTCTATAGACTGATATATATGTATTTAGATACTGAACATGTACACATCCATAACTCCCAGGACAAATTAGAAAGTACTAAAATTAGCTACAGTCATACTGAAATTCCACCTTTCCTGCAAGGTAACCTTGGAGGCTGGCCAAACCTGCTTAATTTTGTCAAGGCAAACTTTTGTCCTTTCCTAGAATAGCAGAGTTGGAAGGAGCCAGAAGGCCATGAGGTCCAACCCCCTGCTCAGTCCAGCACTCGCAGTTAAACCAACCCTGTCCAGCTGCATCTTGAATGCCTTGGGAGTGGGAGAGCCTGCAACCTCCCCAGGTAACCGGTTTTGCCGCCTTGCTGCTCCAGCAGTCAGGAAGTTCTTCCTGATGTTCAGCTGGAATTTGACCCCATTATTCTGTTTCCTGCCCTCTAGGATGATCGAGAAAAGATCCTGCCGTTCCTCTCTGTGACAACCCATTGAGTGTAGTGTCACCGTATCTCCCCTCAGTCTTTTCTACATGAGGCTGAACATGCCCAGTTCTTTCCGTCTCTCCTCAGAGGCCCTGGCTTCCAGTCCCCAGATCCTTCAATCCAGTTGTGGTTTCCCAGCATCTGTGCAGTTTTTCTCCCATTCTAAAAAGCAGGAATGCATCTCCCAAGCCTTTGTTTCTGGCAATAAAAGCGTTACAGCTCAGGGAGCTCTCCCCACTTCGCCTTCTGTCCTACCCAGTCCAGGGATGGACCTCGATGCTGCTCAATTCCGCCCTTGGGCTGCAAAAAGAAGCTGCGGCTCTGCGCTGGGACTCCAGTGCAAAACTACACATAAGCCCATCTCTGCTAGCTTGGGGTCTCCACTTGAGCCCCTCCAGCCCAAAGAATCGCATGAAAACATCTTGTACTTTATACACAGAGTGTCTACAGAACAAGACACCTCACCTCCGAGGCCTGACCCAGCCCGAGCCACTTAAGACTTACCCTCTCCTGGTTGATGTCAGCTAAGAAAAGACTTTTCTTTCTGTATTCTTCTTCATTCAGTGGATCGTGCCAGTACTGGGCTTGGACCAGGCTGTGCCACGCAGGGGGAGAGAGAGAAAGCAAGCATTCAAAACACAAGCCAGAACCGGCCTTCTATCCTTATCCAACACAGTTGCAGCATTTGTCTCCTGCTGCAGGGAACTTACCGCTCCTGGACTGACTTAGTATAGGCGCCAAGATCAAGCATCTTTCGGATCCAGTCACAGATATGAGAGCTCTCCCCAGGGCAGTGTGGCAATCCATAGACACCTGCGGCAGCAAGTCACCTCTTCAGGCGTTTGGAATCTGAACACGGTACCAGTCATGCAAAAGCCCACAGAACATATAAGGAGGCCACACACAGGCATGCAAGAGACAGGCTTCTCCTACATCCCTGGCTGGAAGAGGTATTGACCACCTTGAGGTGTGTGTGCTGGGGGGGGGGGGGGCAGCTGGAGCACACAAGCCAGAGGGTGCCACCCCTGCCACAGATCCATGTGCATGAGTCTACTTCGGCTTGCTAGCACGGTGGTGGATCTGACAAAATTACCCCAACACCATAAAACAGTGGCAGGTTTATTTCTCCCAACAGAGTCACAGAACAGTCACAACGATTAAAGCAGGGGAGGACAACTTGTGGCCGTCCTGATGCTTTGGCCTCCAGCTCTGGTGGCTAAAAGCCAACTCTATGCCTCCATCCAGTGCCCGGTAGAACACTTCAGGGTCACGGGGCCTATTCCGTGCTGGCCCCAAGGACGTCTCAGACCATCTGAGGCCTGCTGCAATGTGTTCGCTGGGTGCTCTGCAGTCAACCCTCTTGCCTCTGCCAGGACTTGGCCTCCAACGCTATAGCAGCTGAGGGGAGGGAGGAACCCAGAGCGGAGTCTGGTCCTGTTTTATGGGATGAGTTTCAGCTGGTTCCACTTGGGGCAGCCAATGAAGTGCTCGGGCAGGCTCCTGCAGCCACGTCTGCACCGGGTGCTTGCCCCACTCAGCTTGTAGGAGCGCTCCCAGGAAAGGAGCAGCGGCCTGGGCCAGGGAGGCGATCAATGCCCTCCCTGAGGGGGCGTGCCCCCTGCTGCCCTAAAGGGGCAATGGGGAAGCTGCTCCTGAAGAATCCCCTCCAGACCCAGAAGATCCAAACCATGGTAGTCCGGAAGCAAATGCTCCCTTCCTGGGGAAGGCCACAGAGCATGCTCCTGGGTGAGACTGATCATCTGGTCCAATTAATTTGGGGTTCAGACCAGGCTCTGGCACAGAAGCAGCTCTGGTGAGCCTGTATGATGACTGACACCAGGGCAGTCCAGCTGTTTGTACCTTGAGGCTCACATGAGAGGTCAACCTGGAATCTGGGGGGGGCACAATGAATTGCTGCAGAGCTCACAAGGGGGCCCTGCTAAGCCCCAGCCTCCCACGCTCTGACACGACTTGCCCACCGAAATCACCTCATGCAGAGCCACAAGCGTTTACCTTGGTGCTGACCGCCCACAGAAATCAGATTGAACATCGGAGAAGATGGGCACCTCTGCAGCACCGCTCTCCTGGGGAGGGAGGAAAGACTGTCACCATCTCAACAGCTGCCTTGCTGGAACACAGCTTTGGTGCTGACACCCTCCTCACGGGATCTGTGGACTTGATTACCCCAGCTGCATATTACCTTGATGCTAACTGTGCATTATAAATTATAATACACTTATTTCTAGATTTATGGCAGGTTATCTTTCCAATCCCCTTCATGGTTCACTGCCTTGCTGTGGCGAAGGGGCTTGTGTAGCACAATGAAGCTATGAGCTATGCCGTGCAGGGCCACCTGAGACGGACAGGTCATGGCAGAGAGCTCTGACAAAACGTGATCCACTGGAGAAGGAAATGGCAACCCACTCGTACCCTTGCCATGAAAACCCCATGGACAGTACCAAAAGGCAAAAAGATATGACGCCGGAAGATGAGCCCCTCAGGTCGGAAGGTGTCCAATATGCTACTGGGGAAGAGCGGAGGGCTAGTACTAGTAGCGGCAGAAAGAATGAAGCGACTGGGATAAAGCTGAAAGGACACTCAGTTGCTGATATATCTGGTGGAGAAAGGAGAGTCCGATGCTGCAAAGATCTATAGGAACCTGGAATGTAAGATCCATGAATCGAGGCAAGCTGGATGTGGTCAATAAGAGATGACAAGACTGAACATCGACCTCTTAGGAATCAGTGAACTAAAATGGACAGGAATGGGTGAATTTAATTCAGATGACCATCAGGTGTACTACTGCGGGCAAGAATCCCTCAGAAGAAATGGAGTAGCCTTCATAGTCAATAAAAGAGTAGGAAAAGCAGTACTGGGATACAATCTCCAAAATGACAGAATGATCTCAGTTCGAATCCAAGGCAAACCATTCAGCATCACAGTAGTCCAAGTCTATGTCCCAACCACTGATGCTGAAGAGGCTGAAGTTGACTGGTTCTATGGAGGCCTACAACACCTTCTAGAATTGACACCAAAAAATGATGTCCTTATCATCATGGGGGATTGGAATGCTAAAGTAGGATGTCAAAAGATAACCAGAATAACAGGCAATTTTGGCCTTGGAGTGCAAAATGAAGCAGGGCAAAGACTGGTAGAATTTTGTCAAGAGTATACGATGGTCATAGCACTCTTCCAACAACCCAAGAGATGACTCTACACATGGACACATCACCAGATAATCAATCTGATTTCTGTGTTGACCATGTGCTCTGCAGCCAAAGATGGAGAAGCTCTATATAGTCAGTGAGAAAAAGACCAGGAGCTGACTGTGGCTCAGATCATGAGCTTCTTGTTGCAAAATTCAGGCACCTTTCCCCAGCCTGATGTGCTGCAGATGAGTTGGGCTAGAATGCCCAGCCTGTTCCCAAACACCCAGAAAGCGCCACATTGGGAAGGCTGTTCTGAAGCGCGCTGCACCAGCACTGCGGTGGTCATGCGGGCACGTCCCCTGCAGGTTAAGGGAAGCAGTGAGTGGGGGGGGGGGGGGAGAATAGGACAGTGGGGGCAAACCTATGGCATGCATGCCACAGCAGCACACAGCACCCTCTCTGTCGGCACGCGAGCCAAGTCACCCCCGCATGGCCCCAGCATTCGAGCATCAGATAACAGCGCACATAGGGGCCATGCGCATGCTTGGAAAGGAGTAGCGGCACCAGGTGATGATGTCACAAGCCGTGACTCATTAGCCGTGACTTGTCCGAGCTTTCGCATGGCTGGTCAGTGCGCTGCCAAGGATATAGTTGCTTGGACTGGCTGCGAGTTTTTTCTAAATGAAAAGCTCAGCATTCAGGTTTCATTGCAGTGCGGGCACTTTGTGAGGAATAAGTGGGGTTTGGGTTGCAGTTTGGGCTCTCGGTCTCTAAAAGGTTCGCCATCACTGGAATAGGAGATGTGAGAGTGAAACTGAAAAGGAAAAGGAGGCAGAGAAGCAGACACTTCAGCAGGTCCTACTGGCCCGACGGGAGAGCACATGCCTTGAATGCACAGCCTCCCATGCCCTGCCCAGAGATTGCCAGGCAGGATTGGGAAAAATCCCCACTGGAAAACTCTGGGCACCACTGCTGGTCAAAGCAGACAGGCAGGTCGGCTGAGAATGATGGGAGCTACAGTGCAGAACTCCTGCGGGCCCCCAGGTTGGGGGAGGCTCATGCAGCCAAGACTGGGCTGGAACAGCCAAGGGCCTGACCCCATACCAGGGAGCAACCTACCTTCCAGAGGGTGTCATACCTGAGGAGGCTGCCATCGCAGTGAAGTCAGATGCCTGTCTACCTAATCTAGTCCCGCCTGGGGACTCCGCCCGAGACCTGGCACACGAGGTGGGGGGCAGTTCTGCAGAGCAAAAATTCCCCCTTGCCCTACAGGGCTTCCGCCATTCCCCGCCCGAGGCACTTACAGGAACTGTGCTCCCTGCGAGAAGCCCATGGCATTGTAGCCCCCTTGCAGCCTGGGGTCCTTTGCCAGCTGGTCGCACACAAGCCTCACTTGGTCGTTCACGTTCATGAAGAAGCTGTTCTCTATGTCCTGAGGAAAACAGGGGACGTGAGCGACGCTGAGCGGCTGGCACGAGGCAGTTCAACCTGCTGCCCTTAGTAGGGCGGTGATCAGGAGCTGGGCAGACCTCGGGAGTGGGATTCCAGCTACCCGCTTTGCTTGCTCTCCTTTTCAAGAGAAAGTCCCTAGCCTCACCTTCCCCAGCTTCCTGCATGCCCACCCAGCCTCTAGCTCTGTATCAGCCTCAAGCAATTTAGACTGGTAAGAACTTAATGCACCAAGACGACTTAAATGAGGCCTTGTCAGACAGCAGCTTGGTTCCAAATGGCTCATAAGCAGCTCTGTGTCCAAATCCAATTACTATCTGAGCTTAGTAACTCCTTAGTTCAGGGTTAGGGTTGGGGATTGTGAAGGAAACTCATCCTAAACCATTCCTTTTTCAGTCTTTGGTTTAAGTTCCTTATTCCCCCAGCAAAGCTCTTTCCAGCAACAGGCATGCCACCAGCACGAAGCCAGACTAAAGAGGGCCCTCACTTATCAGCACCGGGCCTGTTGTTTCAAGTCTGTGTCAGACAGAAGAGCTGCTGCTTCACTCCACTGGTATGTCATTGTACACATATTTTGGAGGAGGTTAAAAATGCTCATCCTTCTAATCCCAGTGTAATATCAGGGCCCCAATCCACAAGTCCTTGCATGCAGTAGCCGGCTATATGAACAGCACAGCATGCAAAGTTCTGGGTGGTCTACTTGAGGGAGGAAGGCGGCTAAAGTCCATAAAGTTTGAGAAACGTAAGAATTACTCTGCACACTAAGAACATTAATAATAAAAATGACACCACCTCAAACAAAGTGCTGCCAATCTGCAAAGAAAGAACATAAATTCCCGGGATTCTCTCCTCCACAATTTTTTTAATGTAGCCCATGCTCTCTGGATTACAGCAGCTATCACCTAAAATGTAAAAACAAAGAATATGGGGAAAATATTAGAACTCAAAAAAATCAGCACTATTTTAAAAACTGGAGTGCCCACTAGCCTGTTTTTTAAGATTAAAGTGGAAAAAGAAAAACAAGGTTAAGTTTCCCATGAACACATACACACACAAAAAATTCAGTTTGTAAGATTTTGCGTGACAAGCTGTAGCTTTGAACAAAGCCCAAGGAGTTTCCTGTCTCTGCTTTCCAGCCTTGCTAATCGGATGCTCATGACATGAATTTATATTGTAAGCCACAGAATATTAATACTAGCAGAGAAAGGATATCTTTGAAAAGAGAAATTATTCCTCCCCACCTACCATGCAGCTGACACAGGAACCTGGGATTACAAGTGTTCTCAGAGAAGAAACCAGATCAAGTGGAGTAACCATCACCTTTCCCAAGAAGGCTCCCTCATTTACACAACAACCCAAGTTGAGCAAGTAAAGTGTGCTTTAAAAAAAGCAAAAAGCACCTGATGATTAAATTTGAGAGAAAAATATCCATCAGAAGCAAAAATGCAAGGGAAAGGGAGTACACTATGTGTTAAATCATGACTTAAGAGTGAATAAGAAGCTAAAGGCAGGAATACTGTCATCTTGTATTTTTGAATGCTAGACCTTCACACAAGATTAGCCATAATGTGAAAGCGTGCAAGCCAATGAAGTTTTATTAGGGTCTAAATCACTGACAATAGTCATAGAAACTGGGAACCTGTGGACTTTCTAGGCAGGCACAGAAATCCTCTCTTTTCTATTACAGCTGGTCTAACAAAAAGACCTATTTCAAAATATCCAGTTGCCTCCGTTTGGAAAAGAGGGGTTATCCTTGGGATACCAACCTATAACAGAAACAGATATTTGCTTAACTTGAATCAGTTTTCTGTCAGTTAACAACCATACAAGTTCAATGTTTTAACTGAGAAGGCCCATTGAGAGTAAAGCAGCCAGATCACCTGGAATTCTTGAGGTGTTTTGGCTTAAAACTGGACAAATGTCAGTGATCGTGGAACCTGTAGTCCAAAACCATCTAGAGCTGATCAGTTTATCTACCTGAATAAAGAGCAGCTTTCCCCAACCTGGTGCTCTCCAGATGTTTTGGGCTTCAGCTCCCATCAGCCTCAGCCAGCATAGCCAATGGTTAGGAATTTTCACACAGACGATGATGAATGGGCTAGAAGGAAATACTGACCTTCCGATTTACATACCACAGAGCCTTCAATGCATAGAAAAGCAGTTTGCACTGATCAGAAATTCATATTCAATTAAAATTCAAAAATAACCACCCAGACCCTCCAGCAATGGGGCAGTATATAAATGTTAAGATAGTTAGTTAAATAAAAATTCCTGGGCCAAGCATGTACTTAGGAAAGGAATGCTGTTCCTAAATTCTTTATACATGTCCACCTGCTCTCAGCCATTATTTTGCCCTTGTTGATGCTCACAGTTCTCAGAAATAAGGCAGATCCTGCAAGCCTGAATTCTGTCCATCCCTGTTCTGAGAAGCAAAATGAAGACAACAGTAGATTGACTTGGAAAGGGGTGATTTATTTCAGCTTCATAGTTCATTCCTTGTCATTTTCATTCTTAGTATACTATGGGCTGATGAGGAACTTAAGTCATAAGATCATCAACTATTTACCACAGTTCTGTCTCACTTCCTTCTCAAACAAAAAAGGAAGCCACGAAGTTCTTCTTTAAACCACAAAATTCTGCACTAAGATCTGTTTGAAATGGTGAGCACATAACCTGGGCCATATTCGAACACAGCTCCATTCAAGTTTAAGTAAGTGACTTATTACATTTCATCACCACCCATCTGCCCACAGATTCCTTGGGCGGTTTACAAAATCGGAAATAACGTAATTAATATAAAACACATAATAAAAACACAACAATCCCATTAATATAGATCCTGAACAAACAAACAAAATTCCTCCACAATTCTGTGCATGTCTACTCAGAAGTAAGTCGCACAGTTCAAAAGACCAGTCATTTATTCTCAGCTTCTCACATTTCCTGCAAGGTTTTCTGTTTTTTTAATTGACGTCCCCGCCACGATGGCCCCCCGCTGCGCCCCCTCACCCATGCCGTGCCAGATGACCAGCGGGACCGGCCCTGCAGCGGAGCTCCGGGAACCCAGCCGGTCGAACACGCCCAGGAGCAGAAGAAGCGAACTCGCCACCGCCGTCCCCATCTTGGATCTGTCATATGACACACAGGCCGGCATCGCGGGGGGTGCGGGGGCGGGAATCACATGACTAAGAAGCGGCGCTAGCTCGGCTAACCATCCTTTCCGAACCGAAAAGCGCGCCCAGCAAGTCCTCGCCCCGAGGAATTCTGGGAAGTGTGGTTTGAGGAGGACGGGGGCGGGGCCTGCTGTAACCTGCCCTCCTAACTAGAAGAAGCGTTGAGGTTGCATGGGCTTGAAGCTCGTGTGTTTATGGAGACCAGCAGCTCGATAAAATTCAACCTGGCGGTTCTTCTCTCAAAAATCAAGATTAAGGATTATTTCACTTCCAGTTTTAACTGGCTTAAGCCAATGCCAGAGTGTTTGTGTTATCAACTATAATTGCACTGTGAATGGCCACTATTAAGAATTCCTTCCCCAATATGCATAATTTTATTTAAGCCTGAAGCACTCCATCATTTTTCATGCATAGACTGAAGAGTGCTGAAGTCCAGAAAAGTTTGTGTCAGAATATATGAGTGAATATGGAATTAGTATTGAAAATGTTGCAAGGCCCTTTGCTATCTACACCAAGATTGTGCTTTACAAGTGTTTAAAGGAGACTCCACTCAGGCCAAACAGCAACATGGCTGGCAAAAGAAGAGGTCCCACTAGCACAGGGATGGGCAATTTGCCATCCTTGGCCACCAATGTGCTTCAAAGATTGCTTCAAAGCCAAGGGCAACCTCCTGCTGCTGCCTTCTTAATTTCCCATTTCGGTTGCTTTTTTGTGGCTAGCCATGCCTTCCTGTGGTGGTCGTTTCATGGTTGTGGCAGGACACATTTGCATATATCCAAATATGTTCACAGCCTACCCCTGTGGCTTGGATGGGGTGTACCAGAAGAATGACAAGGAGGTGATTAAGATTCAATGGGTCTTGCAGTGGATTTTCAGTGTCTGAAGCATAGGATATTCTGGAGCCATGCCAAGGCCTTCTTAGATAAGAGCTAAGAGAACTGAAGTTTTTAGAAGTAACCTCACCTGCTGGGTTTGGCCTCTCAGGAATGGGGTTACAGCCTGTGTGTAACTTTATAAAATCCAAGAGGATTGTTCTCAGCATCAGAGGAACTGACAATGTACATGCCTGCGTATTGTCAGGGACTCCCGGAAGAGCAGCCATGAGAATGTATGCTCTGATCCACAGGGTGAAACCTCCACCTCGAACCTCAGCACTTTTATCAGTGAGAACAATCCAGGTAAATCTGTCTGCAGAGTACAAACCTACAGCAGGGCTGTCTGGTAAAGGTGCACCAACCAAGTACAAAATTCCGGAACGTATGCAGAGTGCTTTACAGGTTTTGAGTCAGGGTTTATGATGAGCAAGTAATGGGTACCTAATGTATTCATAGTCAAAACAGTGTGAGAAATCCGCCCATTCCCCAAGGGATGTGAGCTGGGTGCGGCATTTGGCTGGGAAGGTGGGAGCCCCAGAAGCAACGATGCTGACACCATCCTGTGCTTTACAGAGGCAGCGCATGATGAGCATGGAAGGCCAGATCCTGCAAAGAGGAGGGGGAGGGGGAGGACCGTGAGGCTTCATTTGCGTGTTTCACTGTATCCTGTACTTTACTAATACATTCATTGTGCTCTTGGTTGTATGTTTTCCATGCCAAAGATTTGTAGCTTCATGTTAATTGTACTGGTTACTCTGTCTGTTTTGGGGTTTTTAAAACATAGAAAAATGTACTGTGGAATAATAAAGCTCTGTTTCCAGATGGTGAGTGATTTTGTCCACAGCCTTTTAGGGGCGTAGAGACCAAAGCTGTGCAAGAAGCAGTGGTCAATATGCCACCAGGGCTGCCTTTGGCCTCCTGCCCCTAGTCCAGAGGTGCTTCCTGGATGCTTTGGCCTGTAACTCCCATCAGCCCTGGCCATCCTAGCCAAGGATGGATGAGGCAGCTTGTAAGTCAAAGGACCTGGAGGGCCACAAGGTGCCCACACCTGTGCTAGAGTACTCTCCACGCTGCAGCATCTCCCACTCCCCCTCAAAAGTCATGGAAGGGGGCCAGCCAGTTGCCTCGCAGGGGCCGAGCAGGAATTTGGCGAGTGTGGGAGGGTCTCTCCTCACGGGCCTTGCAGGGGCATCGTCTTTCCCCTGCTTGATGCTGCCCTGATTCCCAGGGCTAGAGGGTGATCCGGGCGGATTGGCGGCTCCGGTGGCGCCTGTGGAAACAGCCCCCGCGGCCCCTCGGCGTTGCCGCCCCCGCTTGAACGCCGCGGGCCAGGGATCCCCACCGGGGCAGCAAGGCCAGGCCAGCCCGAGTCACGCTCGGAGTCCCCTCGGGGCTGGCTGCCTGGGGCGCAGGTCGAGCCGAGAACCGTGTGCGCCGAAACGAAGCCGGTGCGCGCGGTGCGGGGGCGCAAGAGCGGAGGGTGCCGCTGCGCGCGCGGCACCGAGGGGCTTCCTCCCGAGTAAACGCGCCTGTGCGTGTGCTGCTCCGGGGGCCGCTCCGGGGGCCCAGGAGTCGCCTCGTTCGCGCTAATTGTTTCTGCAGAGGAGGCTGCCCGGCCAGCAGCGATTGGATCACATCGGGACGGGCGGGTGTGGCCCCTCTTGGTCGGATTCAAAGGCCGCCGAGGTGGGTGGTACGTGTGCCGGCGCTTCCTTTTCCAAGCCTTTCGGTCGAGGTGAGTGAGAGTCCGCATGCTTTCCTGCTGTTAGGGTTTCAGCTGGTTGCTTTTATTACACGTAGACTACAAGAGGGGAAGGATGTATAAATTTAAAAAACACCGTTCCTTAATTCTTGTTCCAAAAAAGGGACCTATCAGTGAGTCACAGCTATCTTTACTATATGCCATGTTGTTCTATGATAGCATGACTTAGTAAGAGTTTCCTAGACCGGAGTTGAGGAAAGAGAAAGAAAAGGATGCATCGGAGTATCTCTGGGTGATTTGGAGTAGATTAACCACAGCATTTCTTACTTACCAGCTGCAGTTTCCTTCACTTGTTACATATGGGTATGAATTGGTGAACTCCAACCAGTGCTTGGTGCAGTTCTACTTTGGTGTTAAAATTCATGTTCTGTAGTAACTTGGATGTAAATAAGTACTTGGGTGTGGCTGGAGGGAGGTTGGTACTGGGCTTGGAGGCATAGCCCCTGCTCCGCACGGCCAGAGTTCTGGGCACACTCCTGGGGTGTCCAGCTGGAAGAGCCATGGACAGAGGGTGGGCCGCTCCTGGGCTGCAAAACCTTTACCAGTTGGGTTAAAGAGGGCAGGTTTCCCCACCTTGGGCTCTCCAGGTGTTTTGGACTTCAACACCCATCACCCCATCCAACCCACATGGCCAGTGGCCTGGAATGCTAGGGGTTGTAGTTCAACATGCTGCGATGCTGTAAGTTGGGGATTCTGGTATTGTCTGCAAAATCCAAGCATCCCAGGTACCAACCTATGGTGTGGTGGTGCCTGGAGGGTTTGTCCACAGGGGGCTTCCTGTCTCTTCTGCTCTCTGGGTGCTCATGTCCCCCACAAATGGGGTGGTCCAAGTATGTGCAGGCCCAAACTGGGAGGGCTACTGATCTCAGAGGCCTCTCCTGGAGAAGAATCTGGCATGGCTTCTCTGGTGCTTTGAATGGAGCTGCTACTGCCAGAAATTGGCAGGGGGTACTTTTTATGGCACAGAGCAAAAACTTATCACCTGCTACAGAAGCCCCCTGAAAGAGCTAGCCATCTCCTTTGCTAGAATAATTCTGCAGGGTCCTTGCAAACACTCAGAAGCCATGCAGGGCCAGTGCAACCATGCTTAAAACTACATTCTGGTGCAGTATTCAGAATGCCTCAGAAAAGCAGCGTTTCAGACAAACTCATGATGAAATAGATACTGTACACCCTTGTGGATACTGTACAGTCTTTTATCTCACTTTCTGGGAGGAGACTCCACAGCTTGGCGGCAGTTGTGAAAAGGCTCCATGCTGGTTGCTGATGCCTAGACCCACTGAATCAATAAACATTGCCCTGCCCTGCCTGACACCTTCCAAGCTTGAGTCAAACCCATCTGGGCCAGGCTGGAGCAGACAGTGGGATGAAGCGAGCCGACTGCAGCCCTCTCTGCCTACGAACTGGTCTCTCACTTCAGCATCTCTATGCCGCTGAAGAAACAAGTCTGTTTCATGTGTTTGGCTGCTCTGTATCTAACGTGATGTTTTTTGGCATCCTCAGGCTCCCTGGGTGGCTGCCATGGGGAAAGAAAAGACCCATATCAACATTGTGGTAATTGGCCATGTGGATTCTGGGAAATCTACGACCACCGGCCATCTCATCTATAAGTGTGGCGGCATCGACAAAAGAACCATTGAGAAGTTTGAGAAGGAAGCTGCTGAGGTGAGACGCAGTGGTGCTGTTTTATGCAGGCCGGATGTATGGGGGGGTGTCTTTCCTAGAATGAAGGTGGGGGTCCCTCAAACATCCCCAGGGGGTGCTTTCTCCCCAGCTTCCCTCACTACTCCTCTCTGCCCGTCTGCTGGTTTCTAGATTTGGGCTGGTCCTGCGAGCACCCAGGCTATGCAAGGGGCAGGTCAGGCACTGACGCTCTTCAGGGCTTGCCCAGAGAGAGGCGGCTGAAGTCCATCAGAGGACCCAACGCCTCCACATTCAGAGAGCCCTGGCAAAAAGCTAGCCTGCCCGGTGCAGAAGTGCAGCACACCACCCCCGGTATTTTGCCAACGCGGGGAGCAGGGTGTCCATCTTTGGAGACGTGCCAGTGTTGCTCCAGAACCCAAACCTTTTATGAGTGCTCAGAGTCAGTCTGCATCGGAGGAGTCGGGCACCGCCCAGCTCTGTGTTGCCCGCATCCTGGGGAGATGCAGGTTCTAGTCGCCGCTTGGCCAAGAGCCTCAGTGGGTGACGTGGGCCAGCCGCTTCCTCTCGCCCTAACCGGCTTCACAGGGTCGTTGCTGGGAGGGCAGAATGGAGAGGAAGAGGCTGTGTACGCCCCTTGGGCTCCCTGTGAGGGGGGAAAGTGGGATAGAAATGCAACATCATTGTCATAGAGCATCAGCGACGTAGAACCAGACTTGATTAATGAGAGCCAACAAATTTATTTACTTGTTTATTCAAAAACTTTTATATGCCGTCCTATATGTGAGACATTTCAGGACGGCTTATAATATTAGAATCAGAATACACTAAAACAATCAATTGCAATATAATAAAACAATAGATAACCAATAAAAATAAACAAATCAAAAGCAACTGTTAAAACCGTCAAAATGTTAATTTTTAAAATAACAATTGAATGAAAAGGTTTTGACCTGGCACCAAAAAGAATATAGGCTTAGTGCCAGGCAAACCTCTCTGGGGAGCACCTTCACAATCTGGGCGCCACCGCAGGGAAGGCCCTCCTCTGAGTGGCTGCTTGCATGTATTGAACTGCACTTGCCATTAAAATTAAAATCGGCTCCACCCCTGCTGCCCCGCAGTAGGGATCCGTCGCTCACTAAGCAGCGCCTGTCCAATGTCTGATCACGCAGATGGGGAAGGGCTCCTTCAAGTATGCCTGGGTGCTGGACAAGCTGAAAACGGAGCGGGAGCGCGGCATCACCATCGACATCTCGCTGTGGAAGTTTGAGACCACCAAGTACTACATCACCATCATCGATGCGCCCGGCCACAGGGATTTCATCAAGAACATGATCACGGGCACCTCCCAGGCAAGGCCTCCGCCCGGGGGCTCCTTGCCACCCCGCCTTCCAGCTGGCCTGAAATGGGGCACTCCGCTTTCCCCTGGCCGGCTTCTCTCACCTGCCGCTTTGAGCAGCCCTTTTTGGGATGGAGCGGGGGAGACACGGAGTCCTAAATATGCTCAGCTTCTGGGTTGGGAGGCACACAGACCGGCACGGGGAGGGGGAACGTTTGCTGTCTTTGTGCCTTAAACAGATAAAACTCCTGAAGATGCTCATATTCAGGCAATCTCTTTATTAGAACCAACCAACATCCCACAAAAATGTGCAAGCTTTCAAGTTCGTCAGATCATTTCATCAAGCCAGGTGGTATAAAACAAGGGTTGTGGGGAGGAATGGGCTGGGGACAATTTAAAAAAAAGGTGCTCTAACTTTGCATTTAAATGAGAGAGTCAGAACCTAGTGGCAAAGCAAAAAGTTCCTGCTTTAGGTGTGATTATGACGATGTTCCCTGGATACTTAGGAAAGCAGAAGAGGGGGGCCGGGACTGCAGGGATCCCTGGTTTGCATCCCCGCTCAGCCACGGAGCCCAGTGGGTGGCTTCACGCCAGTCACAGAATCTCAGCCGAACCTACCTCGCAGGGTGGTGGTTGTGGGGATAAGATGGAGAGCAGGAGGAGGGGAAGGCTGTGAGCCGCTTTGAGTTTGGTGTAAGAAAAAGCAGGCCGTAGATCAAATAAATAAAGGCAGGGCAGCACGGTGGGCCTCCGGCCGCCTCATGTGGTGTTTCTCAGCCTGTTCAGAGCAAGAACCGAGGCCCGCTGGGTTCCCCTCCAGGCAGACTGTGCCGTGCTGATTGTGGCTGCCGGTGTGGGTGAATTTGAAGCCGGCATCTCCAGGAGTGGGCAGACCCGGGAGCACGCGCTGCTGGCCTACACGCTGGGGGTGAAGCAGCTCATTGTGGGGGTGAACAAAATGGACTCCACAGAGCCCCCCTACAGCGGCAAGCGCTACCAGGAGATCACCAAGGAAGTGAGCACCTACATCAAGAAGATTGGCTACAACCCTGCCACGGTGGCCTTCGTGCCCATCTCGGGCTGGCACGGAGACAACATGTTGGAAGCCAGCTCCAAGGTAGGTGCTTGCCCTCTTCGCTCTGGTCTAGGGGAGCAAAGGCAGCCAGTGAGGGAGGGGGCCTACGCAGAGTGCCTTGCCCAAGCCCCCCTGCCCCCCAGAAACCTTGAGCTGCTGCTGAGATCCCAAGGAACAAAATCTTGCTTGAACAGTTGTGCCGTTTTGCCCACATGTACCGGACAGCAAGACCATGAGACCAAAATCCCTTGCCGGCAGTCTCCGAGGGACCCCTGTCTGTCTTTGCGGACTGGATCCAACCTTTTGGGCTGCTCAGTCCCTGTCCTGCAACTCAGATGTCCAGCTTGCATACCTGCTTGGGGACAGAGGCGTGTTGCCCCCATTTACTGGCCTTTTGCAAAGGTGATAAGCCCTTCATAAACCGGATTCCACCAGTGGCACCCCCACCACGTTTTGTTAGGGGTCTTGAAAACATTGGGGGGTAAAAGTAGAAAAGATGTGGGAGGTGGGGAGGAAGGAGGCCTCACAATTCAAGTTGCACCTTAAGACAGGTGCCACGCCGTGTTTCTGGAGGGACAGCTCCTCGCACCAGCAGCCAAAATACTGTCCAGCTATTCTGTCTCTTCTGCCACAGGTGTTTTTTCTGTGGGGAGCAGACATGGAAGAAGCAGTGGAAAATTGGGGAGGGTTACAAGTGGAGGCAATGAGGTCTGGACTCCCTGGGAAATTCCGTCAGCGAGACAACAGGGAGTTTGCTGAATAACACCTGATTTGGGAACAGCCCAGGGCTGAAAAGACTAAATATAATGCCACAGTGATGGAGTGCGCTGAGATGTCTTTAGTAGTGCTTAGTTCCCCACACACATGCTGAGGTTAGGCCCAGCTTTGACGACAAAGCTGCCACTGCAGTGCTGCTGTTCTTGCGCTGTCCTTCGGAAAATAGAGGCTTCTGAGGACAACCCTTTTATAGGGGCCTCACCCAGCTCCTTGACCTCATGGAGGCCCCTGAATGCAGCCACTCCGGGGCTATTTTCTAAGCGCTCATTGCAGGCTATGCCAGAAGCAAAGGAAGTCAGGCTAGTGCATTAGAGGAATGGTTGGGCAGGCTCTTCTGTGGGTGAAGTGTCTCAACAGTCGGAAAGCTTTCCCATTCAACAGAATTCTGTATCCAGACAGATACTGAAGAAGGCAGGGAAGGAGAGGGCCGGTTTGGGGTTGGAGAAGCAAAGGCTGACACACAAGCAGCACTTGGAATGGAGTGTAGCTGTGAACTCATTTCCCAAGCCTGTCTTATTGCCCTTCCAACTAAGATACCCTGGGAGTCAGCAAAGGTGTCTTACTGGGCACATTCTTGGTACTTGCACAGAATGGATAGGAGGGCTGGAGTGGCAAACTGAGCAACACCTGAGCGGACTGAGATGGTCCTGGCTCCAGTGTTCCTTCCAGCAGCCTCTGGGGGTTTGGACAGCAGCACTGCTCCCCCCACCCCCGGCCCCTCTCTGGGCAGAAGCCCGGGGCCACTTTTCAGATCTGCACAGGAGCCACCTGGATGCGAGTCCTTCAGCGCCTGACCCCTCTTTCTCTTGCCTTTTCCAAAACGAAGTCCGTGGATCCTGCTCTTGCTATTTTCGCTGCCATTGGATGACCAGGCCTTCTGCCTAGTTTGGTTTTAGTATGGATTAATACCGAGTTATCAAATCTGAGGTGGCATGTATCAATTTGAAACGTTCTTGATTATTTACTAAATCTCTATATCATCTAATAGGTGACATGCTCCAATTAACTGGTATGCATAACTATTTAATTTTTATTATTTTCTGCTATTAAAGACCAATCCTAAAATGCAGGGTTCTGTTGTCCGCGTGGCACTGAAGCTGCTGTGAGCTGCCTAGAGCATGTTCGTATGTGGAAAAGCATCACCCAGACCGACAGGATGCTGACCAGGCTTCAGGGTGCAGCCCCATGACCTCTGAACATGAGGCCATGGGAGGCCGTGTGCCTGGAGCTGCGAAGGCCGAGCCCTTGCCCTGTCCCCAGCACAGGCACGGAAAGAGCCACGTGGCTCACCCCGCTGAGAGCAGAGCAGGCGAGGGTGTGCGGTGGGGTGGGGTGGGGCACCGCGGAGGCCCGAGCTAGCCGCCTGGGCTGGGTTTTGCCTCGGCCTCCGTCCCACCTGCTCCCTGGTGCTTGATCCGCACGGCCAACTTTGGCCATCTAGTCAAAATGCGCAGGGCAAGGCAGAGGGGCAGCCAAAACCACTCCTGCCTCGCTCCAGGCAGTGGCGTGTGCTGAGTCTAGAGGCTTCTGTGCCACCAGGGTGGGAAGGGAAGATGGTGCCGTAAAACACTGAAATGCTCTTCCGACTGGAGCCCTGCAGCCCTGCGCGTGTGGGCCGCTTCAGGCTTCGGTACTGCAGTGCAGATTCCGAGGCTGGCAATGGCGCTTCATGTCTGCCCTCAGATGCCGTGGTTCAAAGGCTGGAAAATAACCAGGAAGGATGGGACTGTGGCTGGAATAACTCTGATGGAAGCTCTGGACTCCATTGTTCCTCCATCCCGCCCCACGGACAAGCCTCTCCGCTTGCCTCTTCAGGATGTTTACAAGATTGGGGGTGAGTTGCTGTACCTGCCCTGGCCAGGCCCCTGCCTTGCAGTGAGACGGGGGGGGGGGGGGGGGGCGCCCCCTTCGTCCCCCGGGGGGGGGGGGGGGGGGGGGGGGGGGGGGGGGGGAGGCGGCCCTTCGGTTCACACGAGTGCGAGTTGACTCACCTTTGCAGTTTCAAACCACTGTGTGCACCGAGATGCCGTTCGAAATTCCCATGTTTCCCAATTTTGCAACCAACCTTCAGTCAAAAATGCAAATAAAAGTTTTTTATATTTGAGAAAATAACATTCAATTACATAATGAAAAGCAAGCCACTTACATGCATTTTGCCTAATGTAAACATTTTTGTATTAGAATAAATGTGCACAAGGATGTTTGAGATTTCATGCAAACATAAAAAATACTTCAGGGTTTAGGATGAACCAAGATTGGAGAAGTTTGCAAATCTGGGATACGATCATTAGTAGAAGATGAACAATTTATATGATCTGAAGAGAAACCAGAGTATGAATTTGAGAGAGACTGTGGGGAAGACTGAAATGGCCAGATTCTTCCCCTCCAACTTGTGCTGGGGCACCAGGCCAGTGGCAATCCTGGGCTGCTCCCAGACAGGGATCAGGGAGTGGCAGTGCTCTCCAGCAGGACTTGGTACTTTCTAAAGAAGGGCAGGTGTAAGGTCTGCCAAATCGCAGATGCACCGAGCTAGGAAGTTGTCTTGACCATAATGCCAGCGATCCGCTGCTGCATCTGACCTCTGTGTGCAGCCTGGAGTCCCAGGGCCACAAGCATCCTCCTGAGAGCCGCCAGGGTGCCGCCTGGCTCACGGGAAGGCACTGGAGATGAGGCGAAAAGGAGTCCTTGGGGACAGAGCATCCTTGTAGGTCACTTCAAATGGGGGTTGGCAGCTCTTTAATCTTCTCGCTTCTCAAAGTGGGACTCGCAGCACCAACAACTGATAGAGGCAGGCTATCAAAGAATATGTCTGGTCAGAGACTAGCACCTGTTCGGGTGCTGAATCCACTCAGCCTTTCATTTTCCAGTGAAGAAACAGTTGTGTGATCCTCCCACCCCAGACCGTCCAAGTCACCCATGTGAACGTCCCACAGAACTTTCCATGTTACTTGCAAACCTGTAGTTTTTACAGCAGGAGCTGCCTTGGCTTACCTCGTGCATGAGCGCTCTTAACCTGTTTCCCCCCCTTTATTCCCCAAATCCGGCCAGGCATTGGCACTGTCCCAGTAGGCAGGGTGGAGACAGGTGTGATGAAGCCTGGCATGGTGGTAACCTTTGCCCCCAGCAATGTCACCACGGAGGTGAAGTCAGTAGAAATGCACCATGAGGCACTGGCAGAAGCCTTGCCAGGTGACAACGTGGGCTTCAATGTGAAGAACGTGTCAGTGAAGGACATCCGTCGTGGGAACGTGGCTGGTGACAGCAAGAATGACCCTCCCGTGGAAGCTGGGAGCTTCACAGCCCAGGTGAGTGGTGGAACGGGACCTGGTCTGTGAGCCTGTACCTGCCAGACGTCTTTTGTTTTTTGAAAAACAGAAAGGTGCGCATATCCATGGGGTGCAGCGTCTCAGTTGCATCCCTTTCAGCTCCTACACCATTTCTTCACCTAATTCCCAAGGCATGCAGCTTTTTCCACCGGCAACACAGTGGAGGAGCTTCCAGAAGGCCATTGGTCCAACCGCCTCCTCAGGGCAGGACTCCAAGTTCAGCCATCCCTCTCGGAGGGCTGTCCAGCTGCAACTTGAACATCTCGGGTGTGGGAAAGCTCACAACCCCCCTTGGCCCCGTTGTCGTGCTGCCCTAACAGTCTGATATCCAGCCGGAACTTGGCTTCCTGTACCTTGAGCCTGTTGTTTTGTGTCCTGCACTCTGGGATGATCGAGAGGAGAACCTGGCCTTCCTCCTTGGGACGGCCATTCAAGGACGTGTAGAGTGTTCTCCTATCTCCCCTCAGTCTTTTCTCCTCAAGGGTGAACATGTCCAGTTCTTTCCAGCTTTCCGCACAAGGCCTTGCTTCCAGTCCCTAGATCATGACCCTCTCCCGGGTTCTCCCATTGCTCCTTTGTTGCTTTGTCCTGTGTAATTGCACAAAAATCCATTAACCCTTTCCGTAGTAGCTCTAGGACCCCTCTCTCTGGAAGCATCCTTAATCTTTGGCCTTCCTTGGTGAGTGGAAAGTGGAGACAGGAGAACAAACAAAGCTTTGGCTTGTTGGAGTGCTCTGGTTTCCACCTCAGAGCTTATCTCGCCTCGTCCTCCCTCCAGAATGTGGGCATCTTAATGGGGATGAAGGACCACCCATGGGCACTTCTTAGCTACTCCGTTGCATGGCTCCGCACCGCACGTTCTCTTGGTACCCAGAAGGCTCATTCGGATTCCGAGTAACCCAGACTAGCTAGCGGAACAATAACAAAAAGGGTCTTGCTAAACTTGCAAAACACCTGATGGTCCCACGTGCTGGCTAGTTCGTGCAGTTGCAGCCTGGAATCCACCAGAGTTGACATGGTCGGTGGAGAGCCAGTCATGCTGCCCTGTCTTCACTGGGCATCAGGAGGGGAAGGAGAGCTTAACTCCAAGTTAAAATGTGCAGGATGTTGTGGGGAAGCAGGTGCGGTTCGACGCAGGATGTGAGAGGAAGTAGATGCAGGCTGGACAGTCCCTGGTGTAACACACCATCCCCCATGTGAACTAAGAGGAAAAGCTTGCATTTGGGACTTCTTCAAGCATGCAACCCAAATGCACACGTTTTCCCCCTCGGCTACAGCCTGAAAATGAAGAGAGCTGGGGAGAATGTGGACCTGTGTGTGTACTTCTGAATGCAAATGCAAGCTCAGGAAAAGCGGGGGGGGGGCTCAGAATGATGCTCCCGCTTGCTTTTGGCAAGGGAGGCATCTGCATGACTTGTAAAGAGAAACAGTGTGCGCCTAGAAAACTGTCCAGTCCTAGAAAACAATGAGCAATGCTGATTCTTGAAGGCAGAAACAAGCTGGTTGCATGGCTAAAAGGACGGAAGGCAAGGGCTGCTTGTGGAGGCATCTGTGCCAGGGTGCAAAAGGCAAATCCGCACAGCCTCTTCGCACACCCCACTGGAGCAAAAGGTGGACTTGTGCATGGCATGGCGTGGCATCTGTGCCAGCAGAGAGAGACAGAGTGTCTGGTACCCAGGTGGAGACCTTGCTTGCTTGCATTGGTCTCTCTCTGGAAGGCTTCATGCTATGGAAGCGAAGGGTGCCTGGCCTGAATTGCTGGACAATAGTGATCCAAAAAGCTGCCTTTCTTCACCCTTCTGACAGTCTCTCCTCCTGCTTGCAGGTTATTGTACTGAACCACCCGGGGAAAATTCAAGCCGGCTATTCTCCAGTGCTGGACTGTCACACAGCCCACATAGCTTGCAAGTTTGCTGAGCTGAGGGAGAAGATCGACCGCAGGTCTGGCAAAAAGCTGGAGGACAACCCCAAAGAACTGAAGTCGGGGGATGCGGCCATTGTCCAAATGGTCCCTGGTAAACCCATGTGCGTGGAATGCTTCTCAGACTACCCTCCACTTGGTAAGGGCTCCTGCTTTAACTGATGAGCATTTCAACATGGGCCTGGCAGCCCCAGTGCCTGCGGTTTTCTTCAAAAATTCTGCAGCACAACCCCTTGGTCTTTTACTGTACTTCAGGGGTGAAGAGTAAGTAGGCCAGAATTTGGAGTAGATCTCTGAGTAACTTGCAGCAGGGTTTCTGGGTCCCAATCATTTAGCAATGGCAACCATGAAATTGTTTCCTCCACACCTAGATTTGGTTGTCCAAATGAAGCTGGGAACCACCAGAAGTGGAATGGCAAGGCTAGGCGCTCAACTCAGTGCTGGCACTGAAAATGAATGCCTTGGTTTAGTCTGTGCTCAGAAGCGTTCTTTTTTAATGAGTGCTTCCAGAAAGGCGGCTTCATGCTACCAAGGAGAAGAAACTTACAGCGATTCCATCGTCTCTCCTTAATGGGCTTTCTGCAGTAAGGGAAATGGAAGAAGTTGTGGGTCTGTGTGGGAAGTGGGTGCCATCTAGACCACCTGTAAAATTCTGAGTGTGAGGTGGGGAAATGGCTGACCAAAAGCCTAATTTGGAAGCGCCTGGAGCACCTAGATAGCGTCTGAGAGGCCATAAGATAGTTTGGATGCTGAGCTGTGCGGCTGGGGATAGAACACCAACAGAGCTGAGGATCTGGGGTCTGTCCCACTTCTCCCTTGTGGCAGGCATGGAAGGAGCTGTACTGGCCACCTCTCTGAGATCAGAAGGCCGCTTTTGAGATGTGGCAGGGAGGGGCTCTCTGGAGGAAAGGAGGAGACTGGAGAGGTGAGGTGGTATTCTGCAGCCGCTCCAGCCTCTTTTCCTCCTGCTCTTAGCAAGTTAGCAGAAAATGCAGGGCAGAAGGACAGAAAGCACCCCGCTCTTCCCATTCTGCCTAGGATGCTGGTTAGCCTCTGAGTTTGAGGCTAGGGGCCATCACAACAGAAGAGAGTCCTAAATCTTTTGCACCTGGTTTTGGTTGCCTGCTGTCTATGCGTGCATGTGGACCAACTGGTTCTTCTCCTGTCTGTGCCTGCCTCATCTTGCAAGTGTATTTTAGATGCTCTTCTCCTTGGGATTGGGGCCTGATCTCTTATGTTTTGGGAAGTAGGAACCGCAGAAGCTCTCAGAACCCTTTTTTCCTTGGTTGTGCAATGTTTCATCTAGTCAAAGTTCCTGTTATGCCTGAGGAGTTCATCAGGCTTCTTTTTCTCAGGTTGTGCCCCCAGATTCCTTAGCAGCTACCCCCATAATTGGCATCTTTTCCAAATTTTCTAGACTGGCATGGGGGAACTTCCCAAAACCCAACTCACCTTGCACCACCTCCAACACTCTGGATATTTGGAGGGGGTTGCTTCTGCTTTGGCCTGCTAAGGTCTAAGGTTAAATCATAGCTGGAGGAGAATCAGCAGAAGCTTCACCCAAGGGCCCTTGTCTCTCTCTGGCAGGTCGTTTTGCTGTCCGTGACATGAGGCAGACAGTGGCCGTGGGAGTCGTCAAGGCTGTTGAGAAGAAAGCTGGTGTGGCCAAAGTGACCAAGTCAGCAGTGAAAGCTAGCAAGAAGTAGAGGCCACGCAGAAAGCCGGGCAAGTGTGTGTTGTGGGGCCCTAGTCACGAATGGCAACTTTGACTTAAAAGGCCACTCATTTGGAGGACGGGATCTGACCTAGCACTTCATCCGTTCCTCGGCAACTTTTTCTGGACAAAGTGGTGTTCCTGGGAATAGCTAATAAATTGCAAAAGGAGAAAATCTGCACGTGCCTGTTTTTGCCTCTTCAGACTCTGGCACTTGCCTCTTCCTGCTAACTGGGCTAGTAGACGCTTGAGAGTGAACAAAACAGTATACAGATGATGCTGTATATAAATGGTTCTTCACATAAATGAATGTTCTGTACCAATTTTCCACAATTTGCTGCCCTCCAGAAGTTTTAGATTTCATCCTGGTAGATGGCTTGCACCAAGGAATGAATAGCAGGATTGAGTTTTCATTGATTACCCTAGTCTTTTGGCAGCTTTTAATACCATTGACCATGGTACCCTTCCAGAACACCACTCTTGAAGACATTTATCACTGCAAGCCCTACTTGCTGGACCATCAGTGAGAGCCATGCATGATGCGATCCTATGGCCCCTAGGCAGCATTGAGAAAGCCATAGGATTTTTCAGATCTGCACTCGAAACACAGCTCCAGCCTGGAGCTAGGGAGGCACACCAATTCCCCTCCCCGCCTTGCCTCTGGCATGGGAAGAACTGTGCTGGCTGCATCCCCAAGGTTTTCGGAGTGACCTCAGAGAAGCAGGTTAGGGGACAGGGAAGTGTGGGGTGGGAGACTGGTAATGCCAACATACACCATATCTTGGCACTGCCTCAGACTCTTTCCCTCTCTCTCTCTGACCACAGTTTGCCCCTCTCTCTCTGGCCATGGTTTGCCTGAATTGGCCACCTAGCTGCATGGTTGGGAATGCTGAGACTTGTACTCAAAAACAATTCAGATCATCTTCAAAGGTGTGCAAAGCACTGTTTTAAATGAATAAAACACCCGGAAGGCCAGCCTGTGTGAACCAACACTGAAGGAGCAACCTGATTCGAGCTGGGACTTATCATCCTAGGCAAAAGGAGTGAGTGTTCAGGAATGATCAGCCCAAACTGTTGACAAACTTAAGGTTCCAGGCTTGGCTTAACCCCCTGCCCCATTTCTAGTCCCCCTTGTGGTACTCGGAATATGCCTAGCAGTCCTGCCTCAGCACTGGGGCCTTGTGTGCTGGGATGTAAGGATCTCAGCCACTTGCCATCGCTGGTGAGGATGCCTCCTACCACTGCCTCCACATCCCTGAACCGCTGGAAGTGGGAAAAGGACAGCTTGGATACGTCTGACCTTTCCCTTGTGCACTGGCCACAGAAATGTCTTTTCCCCGGGGAGAACAGCAAGTTGTCTGCCTCCTCTGCAATTCTGGCTGCAGAAGAGCTCCCGGCATCTGAGAGCAGGACTGTTGCTGCTCCAACATTCTAGGGAGGTTCGGTACGACCGTTGGGAGCTGGCAGTTGGTGCGCTCTGGGGAAGCCCCCGCCGGAGGCCCCGTGAGAAGCCAGCCACACTGCGGGGCCTTGGCTGCGGTGCAGGCACGTCTCCACCCGCGAAGGGAGAACAAGCTGCCTCGGAGCCAGGCGACCGTTCCTGCTCTGAGGGTGAGTCCACCAGAGGGAAGCAACGCACTCTTCTGTGCGCCCAATGTGGCAGCCTCTGCTTACCTCAGAGGTGCCAGAAGATCAGTTGGGACCTGGGCGATCTGCAATAGGTCAGCAATGTTTCCTTCCAACTCCCAGTTGTTTAATGATAGCAACAGCAACTTCACTTCAATAAAAAGAGCTTTAGTTTTTTTGAATCTTGCTGGTGGTCTGTGTCTCACAATTTAGGCCAGTCGGGATTACAGTCCCTGGCACCAGAATCCCCAAATCCACCAGCCCCCCACTGAAGAGGCTCACCTCAGATCTACGTTTCCACAGATTTCCTGGCCAAAGGCTTCCTCATGCCAGTAGCTGAGGTTACCAGCACGGGAAACATCGCGTTGCTGTTGCAGCTGAAACTGTTAACTATGAAAGCCATAAAAACAGTGAACACATATAAAAACATCATCAGATAAGCAAAGCAATCTGCAAAAGTGGATACAGCCATCCCAGCACTGGGGGAAAAAAGCAAAAAAGATGCAATAGCCTGTTATCAGGGTTCCAGGAGTACATTTTAGCCATGCAGGGGAAGATATTTAATGATGAAGCTGCTGGGCCTTCCCCATCCAGTGTTTGGTACTGAAAGATGTGGCGCGAAGGACCTCAGGAGGAAGAAACCATCACAAATCTGCACATCCTTAATGTACTTATTTATTATTACTTTTCTATACTGCTCCCATAGCCCACTGGGCTTCTGTGCTATTTACACTTCCAAAAAATTATATACCATAACAACAGGTATACAACAATACATGCCTGCCACACAACAAAGCAATAAAATCAAACATTAAGAATACTAAAAAGCCCAGAAGTAATCACTATAAGCAGTCTGATAAATTCATTAAGCAATCCCAGGTACAGCAGTACAATAAAACAATCATTAAAAGTGTGTGGTGTGTGTATGAGATTGATTGCGCACGCGCACGCGCGCGCGCACACACACAGAGCGAGAGATTCAGTTCTTTAAATGGCTCTCCCTTTACCTAACCAGGGACCATTCAGGTGGCCCTCCCTGCCAGCTGTGTCCAGGTGTTCCATTCTGTTTGCCTGGCCCTTCAGTGCCGAGGGTACAGTGTGGGGGGAGATGACGCAGCTCAGCTTCAGGTACACTTCTGACGCAGTCCGTGTGGGCAGCTTGGATGGTGTTCCTCAAGACTGGCTTCTAACCAGCAACTCTGTTCTCTCCCAGACTCCACAGGTTCCATCCAGGCCCTGTCCTGCCCCTCCGATCTGCACCATGCCAGCTGAGAAGGGGGAAGAGATGGAGCCGGTGTCTCGGAGTAAGAACAGCAAGAGGACACGTGGCGAGACCAGCAACAAGGAGGTGGACGATGGCCACGTGCAGCTGCTACCAGCAGAAGGAGCGACAGATGGGGAACTGCAGAGCCTCGAGGGGGTGGCATCCCAAGCCTCCGCCACCTCGGAGCATCCTCGGACTCCTGCCCCTTGGTCCCGACAGAGGGCAAGCAGGCCCTGTCTACGAAACCACCAGGAGAATGCGGGTAGATGTCGCCTGGTCTGGTTTATTCTCTTTGAAAAGTGATCTTTCAGAAACATACTTCAGCTCTATAATAACACAAATAATCACACCACTTATATGAAATTATGATTTATGATAAACACATAAAATGAGTAAATATAATTGCACTGAATACACCGCATTCTATATTAACAGAAGACGAACATTAAGCGAGGCTTACCAATACACATGGATCTACAGGATCCTGCGTTTGATTGTTCCCCAGAGCGACCCAAAAAGGCACCATTTCTCTGTAATTCTGTTTACTCCCCTTTCCCTATTTCTGATTTACGTCATCAGCCCAAGGTACAGTGCTATGTATGATGAGATAGAAAAGAAGTTATACAACTCCCGGCATCCCCCAGCCAGCAGATGAGAGTGATCTTTCTTCCAAAAAAAATTTGTTTAAACTCGTGCCTGGTTTTGGTTATTTTTTCCCTCCTGGTGAAACCTGAGCTTATGATTAAATAGCAGCACAAAAATTACCTGCTATAGGTCCCTCCATTTTTTAAAAAAATCAGGAAAAGGCAAACATCTCACTCTGGAGGAGCCACACAGATAATTTTGCATAGCTTCTTGAGTTCACAGTGTTCTTATTCCCCCCAAAATATGTATAGGATGGCAGCAGATTGACGAAAAGTAAAAAAATATCAGGGCATTTTACTGTGTTTGGACAACCAATGTAGCTTTGCAGACTGGCCTGGCCTGTCAGTTCCCTCAACCCAGCATGGCTGCATAAGATGGATGTTACAGAAACACCATCTGCCTCCCATAAACTCTTGCTGCAAGAAAAGGGATCCCCTTGTGATGGAGGGGGTGGGGGAAGGTAAATTTCCAGAAGCTCCTGATTTTATCCTCCAGCATCCCTGGCCACAGTGGCAGGGGGTTCTGGGACCTGAAGATCTGGAGGTCTAAATTCTGCCATTCCCAGGTGCCGCAGCTGTCCCACAGAGCTTCCTACCGCCCTGCGAAGATGGCATGTCCCATCAGCTAAGAAAGAAAGAAATCCTCCCAAGTCCTAAGTGCATGTCTGCATTCCAGCAGGTGACACGAGGGCCTCCTCCCGATCCGCCTCCACACGCCAGTGCAAGAAAACGGAGGCTGCAGCAGCACAGCGAGGCAGCGACCACCAAGCCTGGCCGGCCGAGGGTGCCCTGCAGGCTCAGAAGAAGGGCGAAAGGAAGCCTCTGTTCCTGAAGCCACCAGACACAACCCAGGCAGCAGATGTTCTCGGGAACTTCCTGGGTCACTTTCTTACCTACCTGCGCGAGTGCCTGGACAGACCCTACTTCAGGGACACCAGAGAGCTGGACCCCGGCAGCAGCGATGCTTGTGCCAAGTATGAAAAGGTAATGGGACCCCAAGAACCAAAAGAGGGGGAAGAAACTTGCCTTGATGTAAACCAGTGGGGGCATCTTCTGTCTGGGAACACCCCCCCTTTGAAGGGCTGCCCCTGCCAATCTCAGTTCAAACATTGCCGTCAGACCCACAGCAAGCGCCCTGGGCAACAGAAGGCGCTCGCGTGGCCACAGCTTTGGTGCACTTTGGCGGCATATTTGCTTCCCCTGAAATAACCGTGGTTATTTGCAAGTTCACATCCTGTTCTCTCTCTCTCTTTCTAGAGACTGGCCTGTGCAAATGTCACGCAGACCGGTAACCTCTTTTGGCTCCTCTGGTAGCCTCTTTTAACCTCCTCTCTTTAGGGGGCGAGTCCTAGACGGCCACAGTGCTATAGACTCACTAAGGGAGCTGTAGCCAATATCAAGCTCTCCAGGTGGAGCTGGACTGCATCTCCCATCAGCCCTAGCCAGCACAACCCATGGTGCAGGATCATGGGAGCTGTAGGTTAGCCACATGGTGTGGGGCACATGTTCCCCATCCCTTAATGAGGGCAATTCACTTGTTAAGGAAGGACCAAGATTTGCAAGACTCGGTGGAATCAGTGATTGGACCTCCATATTTGTATTTTTATGTAGATCCTGGTTATTTGATTGCATCGACATCACTGCTGGGAAGGCAGCATGATGTATTTTATCCTTGCTCCTACGCATTTCTCGATTTAAATCACACACAGGTGGGATGGGCACACTGCAATTTTTCTATCCACCCTGTAATTTTTCTGGTACAGGCCAAGTCTCAGTTATGTAATTTCTGATGAGAAAAACTACACAAACGAAAGACATCAGGCCAGATGAGACGCTGTGCCCACGGCTGATTCTCACTTCCTTTCTACTAAGTCCGCCCTAGTCCAGATTAGAACCACCACACACTTACCCTCTAAAAGTGTTGTTAGTGTATGTAATCCTTCACACTTACATACGCATATATGTAGAAACTAAACAGTGCCACTCCCAGTATTCATCAATAGGTAACACTTCTTCTCCACTCCCATTTATACCTTGATTTAACTTTGTCCCATTCCCCCCAAAATGGAGGTTCACTCTGTTCCCAACTTGCCTCCTTATAGATTTTGTTAGCATAGTCCTTGCAGCCCTGTGCCCCCTTTGGTATTTCCATTCTACCGCTGTGGATAATTCCATTTCTCCCCAGTTTGAAGCTGCTGTCGAGAGAGCCCATACTAAGGTACAGTCTTCAGCTTTAACTTCCCTTTCAAAACACCCAAGAGCCTCACCAGGGACCCTCTTGGGGACCCGCTCCAGGGTAAAAAGGAAAGCGAGGGCCAGCCGGTACATTTAATGGCATCTCGCACATGCCTTCTCTCTCTGCTGCTGATGAAAACTGCGGATCTGAAGCCTTGCCCTGTGGCTGCTCCCAGTGAAAGCGAAGCAGCAGGAGGCCCCGTCTCCATCCCCGCAAGCTCGTGCAGCTGGTGCTGTTCTCCGGGCTGTGGGAAGAAAGCATCACTTGTGCTGAACGAGGAGGGAATCTGAAGCTGGAGGAAGCCAGGGGGGGCAGCCAAGGGAGGGGCAGGTGGGACAGAGAGAGCTGGCTGTGTCTGGTGCCGGCTGCAGGTTCTGGGGCGCCCCGGCAAAGACCCTGCAGCAGCCACTGCGACAAGCTGCCTGTTCACCAGCGAGACGGCAAGGAGGGACGGGCACGGTGTTCCTCCACCCCACCACGGCTGCGGTAGCCCTGGCGAAGAGCAGGGCTGCTGCCAGCAGCTCTTGGTTGCAGGCCTGTGCCCGGGGGTGGGCCCTCGGCAGTGGCCCCACAGGGCCCGTCCCGGGAGCTGGTTGTTTCCTGGGGGAAACCACACCCTCCGCTCTTCCTCCACTGTGCTTGCCTGCAGCTCTCGAGTCCCGGCGTGTTCGAGGTGCTTCTGATCGTCCCTGTTCCGGATTATGTCCAGTACACTGAGGTTGAGGGATACAGTGGCCTCTTTTACACCCTAACTCTCTTGGGGAAGTCTCGTAGCTTCCCAGCAGCCCTCCTGCTGGAGGACGGGAAGACTCTGTCGCCCAGGAACACCATGGAAGAGTTCTGGAAGCACGTCGACCAGTTCGTTAAAGTTTTCTATTCAGGTGAGGTAGCCAGTCGGGGTGGCACCACAGACAGCAAGGGCTCTCCAGGTGGCGCACAGGTCCTGTGGTGTTGCTTCTGGAACATGGTCTTCTCCAAAATGGCCAACGTCACAAGGCAAGGAATGACCAACACCAGCATTGCTTCGGCCAAGCTCAAGTGCAGCATCCGTCCCATTTTTGTCCTGTCCAGTAGCCAAAGCCCTCCAGGTTATTTACAAAGATTGAACACTGTGGAATGATCATACTATCCGAGTATAAAAACTACTACATAAGCATATAGGCAGAAAGGACTAGATCCCTTGATAATATAGGAAGGAATACAGACCCAACTGCCAAAGAATTCATCATGTCCATGCTGCTGGTGGCAGCTTGCAGGCTAACACTTAAAAGCTGGAAAACAGCGGACCTTCTGCCACGGAGGGCTTGCTCCACGGAGCCATGGCAGAGCCACTGACCCGTAGCCTAGCAAGGAGCTGCCCTGGCTTTGGGACACCGGGAAAGTTTGTTACATAACCTGCTGAACCTTAATCACCTCCTTGCATGCTAGCTGGGAATGCATGAAGCTTGGCCCTAAGCCTCCTTCCCCAACCTGGCACCCTCCAGAAGTGCTGGACTGCAAATCCTATCAATCCCAGTCAGCATGGGCCATGGCCGGGCTAGCTGAGAATTGTAGACTGACACATCTGGGCCGCCTCCGATGGAACACTGCTCCGGGGTGACGATCCAGCCCTTTTTACGTTCCACAGAAATCCACAAGGACTCAGGAGCGCAAACTTAGCCATTAGATAGGGCACCCTAAAACCGTGCCCACTTCAGGCGCAAGTTGTGCTGCTCCGTTCAGGCTCTGGCAAGGGAGGGGTTCGGGGCAGCTCCCCCGCGCCGCCTCGTTCATCGCCGGTTTGGTCTCTCAGCGCCTTTTCCAGGTTGGCAGATGAGGCTGGAGAAGAGGAAGCCCAACTGCCCTGCGGTGAGCCTGGTGCTGCTGGACGACCGGGGCACCAGGTCCATGTCGGTGAACCTCGTCCCCGCCCTGGAGATGCTGGGCCAGTGGCCGTGCACGAGGAAGGCCAAGGAGCTGCTGGGGGAGGAGGAGTGGCTCTGTCTGGTGCGGACCTTCCACTTCGTGGCCAAGCAGTGCCCTGGGAGGCACAACAGGGGTAAGCAGACACCTTTCCCCCCGGTCAGCCCCTCCCTTGCAGCTTTGTCAATAGACAAAGAAAGCACGCAGAAGTTACAGCCTGGGAAAAGAATGCTGGCTGAGTGCAGGGGAGGACAGAGAATTCTCCCCCCCACCCCGCCCCGGCCCTCCACCTGCTTTCTGCACCACGTGCCGGGGAGGGCTGGAGAGCGCTCGTCTCCTCCAACTGGATTCTCTTGCATGCACTGGCTGGCATGGGATTTCTTGTCCCCTGGGATTAGGCCAGGATTAGGCTGCAGTAAACCATGAAGAGCTGGACAGCAAACATCCACTGGGCGGACCTTCTTCCTTTAGCAAGGAATGGCTTGTTTGCCAAATGGCAGAAATGTGGCAGCTCGGGGGTAGTTTCTGGGGAGAAGCAAAGAGGGCTGCCTCTTCCCCAGTCCCTTCTCCAGGGCTGTTTCATCCCAGCTGCTCTTGGATCCCTGCTGTTGTAAAATCCAGGGCACAGTAGCCAAGGTTGGGGCTATAGAAAAGAAAGGACAGCTCACTTAATCTGCAAGCCTATGGAATTAGCCTTGAAACTCCCTCCAAGTCAAACCTATGAAGCAACCCCTGAATAGATCTGAAATTCATGGTGGGTGTGGGTTGCCACTGTATCAGGTATCAAGACACATTAATGCTGCCCCAGTGTGAGGGGCTATGCCAGACACTGGGGGCCACCTGAGACGATCTGGGCCCAAGCAGGAGAGAAAGACACATGATTCGACTCTGACGTTTTCAGAGCTGGAATCTGACTTTGTGAATTTCAGCTATGTTCAGATGTTGCTTTAAAAGTTCAAGGCCGGATATCAGTTCTTGGGTTATGTGAGCCCAGCTGCACGGACAGACCATGGCTTGTCAACTCAGCAGCCCACAAAGAAAACCCATGGTTTGTTACTGGGTTGTGGACTATGAGTGGATCATGATTAATAGGCCATGGTTTTTTAGCTCCGCTAGGTTCACACAACATAATAACCCATGGTTCAAGAGTAACCCATGAGACTGGGTTGTCATGTTGTGAGAGGGTGTGTGTGTGTATCAACTGTGTATTTCAGAGACCTGGAGAATTTCTTTCTCTCACGTGGAAAAACTGATTTTGGACCACCACAGGAGCACTGAAGCGTGCTACAAATACCACAAGACTGAGTGTTGCAGGTATGTACGTCTGGTAGCAGCAACAGGGTGGGGATGATGGGAGTTGCAGTCCCTAGAAGGCACCAGGTTGGGGAAGTCTGAGTTAATCCTTTAGTCACACCTGAAGAGATGCCTCTTCTAAAGTTCTTGCCACCTGCATTGTACACAAGTGCTTAGCTTCAAAAGAGTTTTCAGTAAAGAGCACCAACTGACCAATACCCCGAGGGTGGCAGGCAACATATAAATGGAAAGATAAACAAATAAAGTTCAGTCAGTCAACGCATTTTTACTTGATAAACATCCCTGATTTTTTGGAAAGTCTTGATGGGCTGAGGATATTTTTGTGTGTCTGTTCCAGGAAAGACTGCCTGAAGATGCTGCAAGACCTTCTGGAGGCCCTCAGGGTGGAACACCCCCACATGTTGGCTCACCTGAGTTCCTACCACACCTGGACCTCCTTCCTGCATACTCTCTGGGAATGGAAGGCTGATGCAGACTGGAAACCCTCCGACGTCATGGAGTGTTTCGAGAGGGTCTTGGCCAATTTCATTCATGAGGTGGGCACAGCACACCTGGCCCACTTCTTCCTTCCGAAATGCAACCTGTTTGGGGCCAAATTTTTCCCGCCCACTAAGCTGAAGTTCTTGTGGTCACAGCTGAAGGTGAAAGAAGGAACAAGGAAGCTGTTCACCGTGTCCCGCAAGAGAGGCTACTCTGCCCTGCGTCTGAATCCAGACATGACCTGGCCTCTCTTGATCACCTGTGGTCTGATCGCCCTGGTGTCCATGGTTCTTCCCCATGTGGCAACTTAAAGGTGCAGAGCCACAACCCTCCATTGGATGTGTCCTAACAAGAAAGCGTGCTTTGGAATCACCCTGAGCCAGCGACTGAGGAAACGAGCCCAGGCGTGCCCTGACTTGGGGCCAAGAGTGTTTATTTCTGCGCAGTCACGTTTTTCCTAGGAGAAAGATCTGTGAGGAAAATGAATCCCTGGACTGGAAAAGGCATGCAAACCTTTTGGCAAGACCCATGATGCTTTCCATTCACTTTTCAGCAGTCTTTGGCTCCGAAGATACTTGCAAATTCTTCCCACAGAAGAGAAAAAGTGCAATTTCAAGCAACTCTGATTTTCACCTAAGATAGTGCTTAAAGTAATCGTTCATTTATTCTGTTCCTCAACCTGAATCCTCCTGATGTTTAGGACTGCAAATCATATTGCCCATGACCATGGGGGTGGGGGCTGAAGGGCACTGTAATCCAAAACATCTGCAGGGGCATGTTGAGAAAGTCTGTGCTAATTTTACTCTGGTAGGGACAAAATGTTGAGACCGGGAGGAGAACGTGGCTTGAGCCCAGTCTCCAGATGCAGGATTTGTGAGTACACGGATCAGGGATTATCTGCACCAGCCCTCCCCAACCTGGTGGCCTTCAGAGGCATTCGCCGCACAACTCCCAGAATTCCCATCCAGCAGGGCCACTGACTGGGAATTCTGGGTGCTGCAGTCCAAACATGTCGGAAAGGCATAAGGTTGAGGCAGGGTGGGCTACACGGTACCCGGCCAGCGTCAGCCCCTCAGCCGGCTTCAGTTCTGCTGCAGCTGCAAAGGAGCTGGCCTAGTTTTGTCTGTTCTTCCCCACCACGGGCTTTGTCTGGAGGGTTTTCCAAGTTAGCAAGAGGTATAAATACAGTTTGTAATTCCTGTGTGTTTATTGCTGAGCGATTATTCCACTTTGGTGTTCTGAGGGATTTTATGGCTTCATAAATAGAATAAACAGATTTTGAAAAACTTAACTGAAGGGCTGCTTTATTTCTTGCACTGGAATTTTGCCCTTTCTCTAAGGAGCCCAGGGGAATATACTTGGCTTATCCCTTGCCATTTTATTCTCACAACAACTCTGTGAGGTAGATGAAGCTGAGACTGGGACTTGCTCAGGGTCACCCGATGAGTTCGTGAACGAGGGGGATTTGACTCTGAATCACTCCAGTATGAATCTGACTGGAACACCGCATTATTTCAGGGGTCCAATTGGAGTTTAAATTTCCACGTTTACAACCAGTTACAGATGTAAGCTCCGATTGACTTATTGATAAACTTACAGACAATCCCTGAAATTAATCTTATTTTCATCTTCCTCTAAGAAAACCGTATTGTAACCTGAAGACTGACATAGTAACATTAATATTTTGAACACAGAAACAGAGCGAGTCAGAAGGGGTCTCTGGCTCCAGCCAGCTCTGCTCACGACATATTAGTGTGCTGCTGTTATGCTTTTTTAAAGTTTTAGGCAGCATTTTACTCTGTGTTAGAGTGCATGGTTTGCATATTGCTTACAGATTTCTTTTTAATGGAAACAATCTGTAACTATCACTCAACAAAGGAATGGCCAGAGATGGTTATACGAAAGCAACTGACGAGCCAATGGGGCCATCGAAATGGCTCAAGGGTGGTGTTGAAAAGTCACGGACACAGCTAGCAAAGCAAATGTACCAAGTGCTTTACAGGCCACTGTCCCTTGTGTCCTGGGTTCCCTGGGGCTTTTAAACTATTCCGCCATGATGGGAAAACAAATTCTTGACTACCGGTCCAATGCAGCTGGTCCTTCCATCTTCATCAGCGCTCAAAAGACAGACAGACCGACCGAACTGCAAAGGAAGGGGAAAGGCAGAGGATGAAAAGATGAATCTGGGCTTGACCAGATGTGAATTTGGGAGATGGGCCTATGGCTAATGCAAGAGCCCCCAGATGACCTCTGTCAGCTCAAGGATGTGGCACCGCTTACGGCATAAACTGACTTGTTTTCAGAGCAGGGGAGACGCAAGCTCTGTCTGAGGGGCCTCTTTGAGAGGCAGAGCCAAAAGGAAGAGGTGCAGCAGAAAGGAAGGCCTCCCCTGTGGCTGCCCGGCGGCAGATGTCCGGCCACTGCGTGAACAGACGTGCGGCCGCAGAGGCTGCTGGCTCTTCTCGTGCTCTGAAGGGGGATGCTTCGAGGAAGGGAAGAGGCGGCTCCAAACGGAGGACACCCCTCCCTGGGCGGGGGCACTCTTACACCACAGCCCGAGAGGCCAAGGCAAGCTGGGGTGACCTTTCTTCAGCAGAAAGGGCTGCAGAGCAAAGCAAAGCCAAAACATCTCCAGGCGCTTTGGACTTCAACTCCCATCAGGCCAAGCGAGCATGGCTGATAGCCAGTGATGCAGAGCATGAAAAATGCAGAAGATGCACAGGAGCTCTTAGGGCTGGAAGGCACTCCGAATTGGACAGGTATAACAGAGACTTGGTGGGATAACTCCACATAGCCGTCGGGGTGAAGGACGCCCCTTGTTCAAAAGGACGGATGCAGGACCAAGCGAGGTCTCCGCTGAGTGTGTTGTTGTGCCTCCCAGGGCGACTCGAGGCGTCCCAGCTGGCCCAGGTAGACCACCAGCTTCCATTCGTACTTCTCTCTTGCTCTCCACCACTGCCACCTTGTGGCCTGATCCATTCATACTTTCTTCTCTGTCCCAGTCGATGAAGCACCTGGTCTAGTTAAAATCAATGGCCTATGCGATTTTACACACCGTTTTTGCATGTCTGAGTCACGCAATTGAGCTAGTGAATAAGCCCCCTTACAAGCAACAGTATATTTAATGGTAGGACAAGGCACAATCATTTCAGCACTTTGTACCCTTCTGCACTTTTAATGCTGCTTGCAGGATTCTTTGCATTTTAAAACTTGTAAAAATTGAGACAGAGGTTCTCACGATCTTCCAAGTGGGATTGACGTTTAGCCAGCCATTAGATTTTAAAGCATATTAAAACAGCAAGTAAAGTGCTGTGGCCAGTTTATACAGAATAGGTGACGAGGCCTCAGCAGCGTGGGAGGGATTAACTGGGGAGGCTGTGATTCTCGCTGCAAAACCAGGATTGTTGTACAAAAGTGCGCCCGTTTCCACCAGTGAAATATCAGAGGGTTGGAGCATTTCTTAAAGGATTCCCAAACCCCCACGAAGGCTGAGGGACAAAGCTAAAACGTTTAGGCTTCTACGAAATTGAGACTGACCATTCCATAGTCGGGGGTGAGGTTGCCCTGCCCCTTTTGGGGCCTGATTTTTGCCTGCCTCACTACAAATGCTCTGGTGGCGTAGATGACTTCTCCCCATGTCTTCTCCTCTCTGCGCCATGTATGTTCAGCCCTTTCCTGGAAGGAAAATGTTGCCCATTTGCAGGTTCTGTTGCAGATAAAGGAACATGAGATATTGCTAGAAGTAAACAGAACTTCAAAAAAACGAAAATTTAAAATAATAGCCAGTGTACTTGTGGAAAAGAAGCAGCTGCTATCCCCTTACATGATTAAGGACACATGTGCAGAATTGCTGGCCAGTTACTGTCCAAAATCACGGCTGAGAACTCTGGGAAAAATAATCCACTGCTAAAGGAACTCCCATCTGCAGAAAGAAGCAATGCAAGCAGCCGAAGAGAAATGGCTTAAACATGATGAGCGATAAACACAGTGACCTGAGAACCAAGTCTGAGTTCCTATGGGACCCACCACTTGTCCTTAGGAGCCTAATGGCACCTGTTCTCAACTACTTCTCCCAGCTCATTTATACCACTGGCACAAGATGCTGCAATTCACAGCCCTATTCAAGTTTACACAGAAGAAAAGTTTTACGACTCCCAGCATGCCCCAGCCATGACTGGCTGGGGCATGCTGGGAGTTGTAGGCCTTTTCCCCCCTCTGCCTAAACATTCATAGGATTGCTGCCTTAATTTTTAATACAAAGGCAATGAACTAAATGATTGCTTGAACTAGAATGATTCGCTTGCAACTGCTTTGTGTGGTTTGTCTTTAATGTTCTTGTATTGTGAATGGTACAAACTGTTTAACATTTCAAAGAGAAATGGCTGATTTCAGAGCACTTCTTAAACAACAACCTCCACCACCAAAAGCTCCTGTGTTACTATCAGAAATGTTGCATATGTTTTGAACCTACAGACTCCTTGTTAACACTTTGCACCTAGAGTACAACACCAAATATGTCCCTGGCTGATCCTTGGTCAGAACAGAACACCAAAATCCTGTATCATAATATCCATGGTCAAGGACAAATCTGTCCATATTAAGCCCAAGAGCAAAATGATCAATACTATTGTTACAAAAGCAGACTGGGCCTTTGCCTTGAGGACATGCCAAACAGAAGTCCAAAAAGACAGCATGTCCTTTTAGCTGCAAGCCACTGTTGGGAGACTGGTGACTTTTGAGGAGGCTGCGCATCCAAGGTGTGAATGCCGTCAGGTGCAGCTTCTTTCCTTGCAGTGCTGCCATGAAGGGAAAAACTGCACCTGGCAGAATTTTTCCTTTGCTGTAATGCTAAGGAGCACCCTTAAGTTTGGTGCAGGTTGTTAGATAAACAGCAGCCTAGCAAATATCAGGATAAAATGAGCACAAGTGATATGCTACGCAATGCCAAGGTAAAGGGACCAGGTAGGCTGAGTTAGGCTTGCTTGCTGACCATATAAGGAAACTGGACCGATTAACCACTTTGGATAGATTCACAATTAGAAGGTGATAACTGGAGCTGATAGCCAGTGTGGTGTGGTGGTTAAGAGCCTGGGACTGGGACTCAGAAGATCTGGGTTCTAGTCCCTGCTCAGCCATGGAGCCAACTGGGTGACTTTGGGCCAGTCACAGAGTCTCAGCCCAGCCTCCCTCACAAGGTTGTTGTTGTGGGGATAAGATGGAGGAGGAGAATGATGTAAGCTGCCTTGAGCCCTTTGTAGGAAAAAGGCAGGATATAAATCGAAAGATAGATAGATAGATAGATAGATAGATAGATAGATAGATAGAGATAGATAGATAGATAGATAGATAGATAGATAGATAGCTGGGGTATAAGTCTATTGAACTGCAGCACAAAGGTGTGAAGACCGCCTTGTTTTCAGGCAGTGGTTTCACCCTTCAGCTGAAGCCTGTAAATAAAAACTAGCTTTGAGCCTACATTGTCTTCCCTCTTGAACCAACGAATTGGGACGAGTCCTCTCAGGAGCTGAATTATTGGGTGCAATTTACCCAATAAGGTGAAGTTAGGCCACCCGGCTCTGCAGGGTTCCCATCTAACCTGTGCTCCTTCTCCTGTGCTTTGAACAGTGGCAGACAAGAAGCAATGAGGCATTTCTGCCCCATTTCCTTGCTGTCAGAAGCCTCCCTGTCTTCATGTCATCCTTTGCCTGCTGGTAAACACACAGGCACAGCAGCCGGCAAGGGGCTGGCCGCCCTCTTGGCTGAACTGAACCTGTTCTGTTCCTATGCCTGCAGGCAGAAACATCACAGCTGCACTGAGATGCAGCATTGAGCGAGGCTGCACCAGTGGCATTTCTACTTGCCGAGAAGTGTCTGAACTCCCAGACCTGCCATCAGCAGAGAAAAGGCAGTAGCTGCAGCACCGGGAGAAATGCAGCCAAGCCCGGCTTTCTCGGGGCTGCTGCTTGCGTCAACTCCTTGCCCTGTTTCAGGCGACCCTTTGAAAGGAAGCCTCCCTCCTCACTGCTGCTGCTCCAAAATCCCTGCGTGCCCCCTCTGCCCCTCATACTCACACTTCTGGGCACCTGGATCCCTAGGGTGCCCAGCAGGTCCCTTGGATAAAAGCAAAGGCAAGCCGCTCACGTGCCCACCAGTTACGGTCTTTGGGGTGAATCCTCCATGCCTTTCATAAGAGGCTGACACAGAGAAAAGGGACCTGTGAAGCCGCTCGTGGCACGGAGATAAACTGATGGGAAACTCTTCGCTTGCTGCTTGTAATGGTCAGCTGCTGGCCTACTTGCAGGGAGTCAAACCGAGGCATGCGGTGCTCTGGATGTCCCTGTCGTGCCCCATGTGCTTACCTGGCTGCCAGGCCAAGGAGCGTCTGAGCAGACCTAGCTCTTTCCAAAGGAGGCAGCAGGTTCCAATGTTTGTTTATTTATTTTTCAATTTATATCCTGCCTTTTTCCTACAAAGGGCTCAAGGCAGCTTACATCGTTCTCCTCCTCCATCTTATCCCCACAAAAACAGCCCTTTGAGGTAGGTTGGGCTGAGAGTCTGTGGCTGGCCCAAAGTCACCCAGTGGGCTCCATGGCCGAGCGGGGACTCGAACCCAGGTCGCCTGAGTCCCCGTCCCAGGATCTTCACCACTACGCCACACTTTGACTGCCCAGACTTGGCCACCAGGAGGTGAGTGTCCGAGTGTCTCCCACTGGAGGTTCTTGGTTGGGCAAATCCATTTTCCTTGCTTGGTTCTCACTGTGGAGCCCAAGAGGATGTGCTGACAACCCACTGGCATCAATTTTGGGAGGGGTGGCTGTGTGGATCCGTGCATGGGCGACACAGTGGCTGTTTTAGGGCAGGCTGGAACTTGGGCCCATCCTGGCCCCTTTGGGATGAACCAGGTGGGCGCGTTCATCGCTGCCTCTGGATTTCTGTCCCCCATTCTCCTGCAGAGTCTGCCCAGAGAAGATGCCCTTGTTCTGCATTGCGGTTGGGAGTGATGTAGCTGGTTCCATGACTGCTCTGAGGCAGGGGGAGAAAGCCTGCTCCCTGCATATGAGTATGTTTACACCACCTTCACTACAGAGTTATAGTCGTTGCAGATTTTCACACACAAAAAAGAGGTCTTTGCCCACAGGGAGC